TGCACCGGATGGATCCACACCGAATGGACGGATGCACCGTCCTGAGACAGATACCGGATGTGCTGTTTGCCTGTTTTTGCGAGCTTTCTGCAAGCATCTCACTCTATATATGTATATATGTGTGTGTATACGTGTGTTGGTATGCGTCTTCTTGTGTATGTGTTCGATGTACTTTATTCATAATTTATGTATACATATTTATATAGTCCATGTACAGAACGCGCACGTGTCGTTTATCGGCGGCGATCAATAACATTCTTCAGAGTATCGTTTCGACTTTCGCTCGTTCCATTACGTTCCTTATTTTTTATTCTTTTCTCTACGGGTTCCGTTTAGATGTCGTTACCCAATCAGCACACAATGTTTAAAAAATATTTTTACGTTAAATAAATAAAATGAAAAAAATGTTTTAAAAACATTATCTGCTGATTGGGTAGAGAATTTTCTGCACTGTCGTAACTCGATTCCTATCTATTTTCGTTATTATTTCGTTTTAATATCACTGAGAACCTGACAGTACGTCAAAGTCGTCAAAGGCTCGCGTGATCGCGATTCAATAACATGCCGTAAGATCATTTAAGTGTAATATTTTACATTCTATAAAATTTATATGAAATATATAAAAAGTTATGACTTGGAACTAAAAAGAATATAAATTAACAATTATTATTTTCAGTTTTCATAATTCGAAAAAGATATTTGAAGGAAGTAATCCAGATATATATTTCATTAATTATTATTACTAATGCCAATTATTAATTTTGTTGAACTAATTCTTTTATAAGACTTTCTGTAGGATTCATTTTTGTCCATAATGAGCAATAATTAACAAATTGAATCAATTATTTTACAATAATTTGAAAACTAAACTAATCAATTTTTTAAATTTATCAAATTTATCTATTAAAATAAATTTGCAATATATGAAAATTGGTGTACGTGATATTTAGCACAATTATAAAAAATATCAAACTAATTTTGCATTTTTTATATAAACGCTTTCTTTATCATATTAAAAAAATATCTTTAGTTTTTTTTCTTTTCTGTATATTTAAATAACAAACGCAAAAGGAAGCTTCGCTTCGTCGATCACGCGATACCTTCAAAGATTGCTGAGTCGCGACGAGACGAATTTGGATGCTATACTATCAACACTATTTTATTTTAATGTTTTTTAAGTTTTGCTCTAACTATGCGCTCTTCTAGTACCATATTTGACGACATTAGACAATAATTATCTCTCGCGCGCAATTATATCTTGCCCTGTACATAAGAAGAGTCTTTTGTTATCGCCTGCCATTGAGTGCTATCAGACGAGTCGCAGAGTAATTATTGTTATCCTTATTATTATTTCTATTTCGATATTATTACTATTATTATTATTGTATTTATTTTTATGACTACAATCGGTATCGTTATTATTAGCATTATTTATATTATTATTATTATTTAATTATAATTTAATCGCTTTCGTCTTGAAATTCTCACGTTTATGTTTAAATTAGCACTTTTAAAAACAGTAATTACGTCCATATTTATATCGGATTATACGATTGATTAATTTATCGTTTACGAGCTTGGTCATCATCCCTTTATATTAGCAAGTCTATGAAGATTAAAAGAGTTTTCCATTATTATCCTTTCATACATATACGACGTTCTATATATTAAGTAGCACACATTATACATGCACATTCTGCGTCTCTTCTTTTTCTTCTTTCGTTCATTTCTCTCTTTTTCTCTCTATCTCACTTTCTCTTTATCTTTCTCTCTTTGTCTCTTTCAAGTATTATATATCTATCGATACATTCACGTATTCTCTTTCTGAGCCGCATTTACATACCACATATGTTTGATATTATATTTCCTATTCACTTATCATGAAATATAAAATCAGGTGATTTTAAACTTGATTTTTAAACTTGTCTAGTTTGATTCCATTAATTTCAGATTTTGCAAATAAACAATTTAAGAATTAGAGTAAATTAAATTTAATCATGAATTAATTGATTTCACATTGAATAAACGCAAGATTCAAAATTTAAAAAAAGAGAAGAAACTTCGGTGACATTTTTATGCGTTAAATGCGGCTCTTTACCTTTCTTTCCATTTGTGTTAACACGTTTCTATGGATCCGCAAAATGAGTTGTCGACGAGATCGTATCGTCAGACTGGCTAAGTTTTTTTCGAAATATATTTATCACAGAAAAACATTTTCATGAATATTTAATCTTATTCGCGCGTACATACACGTACCACGCGCGCGCGCGCGCGCATGTATCGTAATCGTTATGAATTTTATCACGATGTTGCGGATCTTCCTGGATCATGTCGATATCTGTTTATTTTGAGACATTCGCTAATACCAGCTAGAATAAAAATAATTCTTTCTTAGATAAATTGTAAATGTTTCTTAATATAATCTTTTAATTTTTTCAAATATTAAAATCAAGTAGATTTTATTTTATTTCCTATTTTATTTGTAAAACAAAATAAAAAAGAAGGTATATAAAAAATACTTTTTAAAAAAATAATTCTACAAACCAATATTAGCGAATTGATTGATAGTGTTTCTTTCCGTATCGCATTCATTCTCATTGATTCTAATTATGAGTCGCTTTCATAGCAACGTTTATACGCGATACGATATACAATTGAGTTTTTAAAGCACTTAAGGGAAGAAAATACGCGATTATACATCACTAAAAATGCGCTCACGAGATCCTCGGTGATCCTTTTTCCCTCTCCCTTTCTTTCTGTATCTATCTCTCTCGTTTCCAAAATAATATTTTTATATCATTTTAGAAGAGAGAGCATAATTCTGATTCAAATATGATTTTCCTGGACCTGGAAATAATTAATGTCATTGAAGATATTAATCACCAATTATTCCAACTCTCTTGAATTATCCTTTTATTATTAATTTTTATTATTTTACATTACTATATATATATATATTAGACAATATATTAAAGCGATTGGATAAGTCTGTAGTCTTTTCTTTGGAAAAATTGATCTTATTATATATTGTTGAATTTTTAATCGCTGAATAATACAAACAATTTCGATGATTAACGCCCGTTCATTCACCAAGGATCTTTATATGCCGATCACGCTGGAAAATCAATCACTCTTTTTTTCTTTTTTTCACTTCATTCTTTCTCCCTACGTGAATTTCTCCGTTGCATGCATACATTTTTTCGAATTAACTACTTACATTAATTATACGTTACGTAGTGGCAATATTTATTTTGACTTAGCCGATACACGAAAATTACGCAAACAAGTACAGAACAGCGCATTTGAAATCAATCGAAACATTTAAGAAACGAAGTGAGTCAGCCCTGTTTTTTTACGTTTTTCTCAAAAGCTGTTTTTGACAACAAAAATAAATAAATATAAAAATCAAAGTAGCGAAACAAGAATAAAATGCTTTGTAAAGAAACATCATTATCTGATGACTTGATTATTGTAATGGCCGAATTGCCTCGCTTCTCAAATTTATCGATTCAATTATTTTACATCCATTCACTCAGTTTTTTGCTTTCTTTCTCTCTCTTTCGCTCATCGGGTATATACATTTACTTACGTACAGATATATCGTAATATTTATACGTGTCGCAGGAAAAAAAGAAACGTACGTTTATGTACACCTACGTATTCTCGTGTGTTTCCTTAAAACACCTCGATTGGCAGTATGTTAAAAATGTCTTTATGTATAATATAATGATTCTTCTTTTTTTTTTATTACGTACTCATTTCGAATACGTGTGCTTGTTTAGCAAGCTTTCGTTTTGCGAATGATTCTCTCGACTTTTCTCTATTTTTTTACTCTCTTGTATCGTCCGTCGTATAAACGTACGATTGACGACGAAGTTTGAAGACAAATTAATTATGTAAAGTGATGTTTCTCGTTTATTTTTCACGAATCGCGCGCGCTTCGATAATTAGCACACTTATTGTTAATATTACAATAATGATAGTAAACAGCGTTAGTAGCGACGATAGTAGAATAGTTTAGTAATAGTAGTTGTAGTAATAGAATAATAGTAATAGTGATAGTAGTAGCAGCAATAGTAGTAGTAATAGTAACAGTAATAGTAGTGGTAGTAGCGGTAATAAATCGTAATATAGTAATAATGGTAGTAGCAGTAGTTAGTAATAGTGTAATAGTAGAGTGAAGGACCTGTTTTTCATCTCTTTTTCTGCGGGTGTTAATTTAATAATGGTATTAGCAGTGATAAGTAATAAGTATTGTAATTCAATTATACGCAGTAATTTACAGGAGTGCTTTTGAAAACTGTATGGTAAGAATTGTTTATCTCTCCACGTCATCGATTCTCTTTATTGTTCACCCTTTTCACCCCGTATTCCAAGTGCGCATTTCTCGATCGTGGTCCTCATTTCCTGAACTTTCTCCTAATCACTGTTGATTGGCACTAATCGCGAGGCAACATCCGCGCGAATTAACGACGACGTTTACATTCGCTTTCTTCTTCCTTCTGCTCTTTGAGTTTACTCTTATGATGACTACAATCGTCTCGCATTTCGATTTCACAAGAACCGCGACTGCGAACAATATTGGTATCTCGTAATGGCGGTTCTTGCGCCTCTCTCTCTCGGTGAAGCGATTTCTAATTATTCGCATTTGATTAGGATCTCAAGTTCATGGGACTTTGTCAATGGCAAAATGGAGCTGACCGAAATCCTGGCAGAATTATTAGAATCTTTTGTTTCGACTTCCAATCTCTAACTTCTAATCCTATTAATTCTTTTCTCATTGGTTTCTTTATTCATCGGGAAACACCAGCTTGTCAGTCCGTTCTGTTCGCACAGCTGAATTTCCCGACGAATCGTCAAACGATGCTTACAGCGAAGAAGTGAAGAAATACAAAACAGATTTTCAGATTTCAAAATAAAACATCGTCATTTCAAATTATTTTGTTTAATTCTATTTTAATTTTTTAGTTTTCAAAATTTAAAGTGACGAGGTAAGTCTTATCGAATTCTGAAACTACGTAACTACTATTTCGTCTTTTCATTCTCTCGCTTCAGTCTCCCTCGATTGTCCTTCAATTGTCGTCGTTGAACAATTAACATTACTTAATCGGCGCTTTCACGAGTGGAAGTGGAATGATTCGGTACATCAGTCGCGATTTCCGGCTAATTATGGGGGAAGGGGGTTTTCTTATGCATGCACGCACAAGATCATACGACATACATACATACATAAATGCACACGCACGTAAGAGAACGTTTCGTGGTGATCACAGCGCAATTCGGGCGTTCGATGAGTCTCTCCTCCGGAAAATTGTATAAAAAGTAAGTCTTCCTCGAGACGGTCTTCGTTCGATCGAGCCGAGGTAAGATCGAAATATTAACTCGCGAATATAATATCGGAGGATTTCGAGCTCTTCCGGAACGTCCGCTCAATTAATCAATCACTGTCATTCACGACGAGTTTCACTGCAACCTACCACCTTGTCTCTCGACGTAGCCGTCGCTCGCGATCTCGAGAGATCCATCTTCGCTTCATCGTGCGTCGTTCGCACCAATATAGAGCGTCTTCAACTACAGCGATTGAATAGAATTCATCTTTCAAATCCCTCGCATCAAGCAATCGTTCGTTCCCGATACTTCTGACTCGATCCTCCAGGCTCCAAGATTAGATCTTCGAGATTCGTCGAGCTTAGCCATTTGATTGCACCTCGATCAATTCGTAGAATCGCGTACGTCGCACTCTTCCTCGTTCGCGAATTCGTGCGACGTCAATGTATGAGTGATAGTTTCGCCGATTTCTCCTGTGCGTTCGCGAGAAATCGATTTTCTATGTGTATTTGCTGACCCTGTTCGGTCGCCGCGTTCAGCCACCGGAAATCGCTCCAAACATCGTCCGCCTGGAATCGTTTGCCCTGTTTTCAATTCTCTTAGACTCTTAGATCTCTTTCGGTCGCCGCAATGTCGTGACTGAAACAACTCCTTCATGAAGCTGTTCTTCGGTCAGTCGAAATCTGGAGGGAATCTCCAAGAGCTTCGAGCTCGTCGACCGCGGCTCTTCCATTACTTTCACATCGAAATCAACGCGCGTCCCACGTGGACGACTATCATGCGCAAACCCTGAGACGCCTGGGGGCGTCCACGTCACCGGACCACCGTCCAGGGTCCCACTTTGGCTAGCACCAATCGTCCTCGTCACTGTCCGAGTGTCTCGACCTGCTCAAAAACATTATTCGTCTAATGAAAACTCGTTATTATAGTTATAAAGGAAGAGTGAATAGATTATGTATTAAAAGAAATGTGTTGACAAAAGTGGATTAAGACAATTTGTAAACTACATAACTTAGTAAACTCAATGAACTTTAGAATATAAGCTTCTATTGTATAACTTTTAACGACAATGTTAAAAGTTATAGAATAGAGGTCTTAAAAAAAGCACTTCAAGGAAAAGTAGACAAAGATTAATAAATAATAAGAATAATTAATTGTAATGATAGAAGATGAGATTATTCGAAATAGAGGTGAGAAAATCTTCTTACCTAGGTGCTCTCTGCTTAGATTGCGGTTGTGGTTTGTAACCGTTGGGCACCGGGCTGGGCAGTAGACGACCGCGGCCGATCGCGACAGCCTGCTCGAAGCTCAACGGATGATGACTCGACTGCATGGAAGATGGCATGTGAGACGGCGGATGTGGATGCTGCTGCAGAACATGACCGGGTACAGGTCCCACTGGCACGTGGGTTAGTCCACTCGGTGCCATGCCATGCGGTCCGTGAGTAGGCGAGGCATTCAGCTTGGGGAAGTTGATGTTGGTCGGTTTCAGCTGTAGGGTTGATGGCTTGTTCGGCGTCGGCGGCAACCGGCGACCCTGGCCTCTTCTCGCGACCAGCACCGGATAACTGTGTTGATGCGGATGATGGCGATGATGACGCGGACGACCACTGCCTATCGGGCTCGGGCTCCTCGAACGCTGTTCCAGACTAGTCGTACCATAATGGCCACCACGCTCGATCCTGTGAACCGGACTTGGCGACCTGGCCGGACTCGTCGACGCGCTCCATGGACCTAATAATTACGCTTATTAAAATTTTCTGTCTGTACTGTGTACGCGTGGCACAATCGTTGCGGCGGGGCTTTTTCGACACACGGCGCAAGGGTTGCTCGACAAGTAACTCATAAGCATGTGTTGAAAAGCCATTAGGAACCCGATACGGATATTGGGGACCGGACAATTTTCGGATGTTACCAATTTTCAATATTACTGATCGTTCGATTGTCTAATTAAAGGACTTACGATGAAATAAAATTAATCTAGATTCAATCACTCGGTCTCTGTGCGAAATTCGAAGAGCTCGCTTTATCGGAAAGGATTCAGGATTGACGAATAAATGATTATTAATATAACGTAGCTCTATTAATATTGATTAACCCTTTTGTAAGACTAATTATTATTTCTTTTTCAAGGAAGAATATCAACTATATTTAATGTGTAGTAATGAAAACTTAATTTAATAATGGAGTATATTCCTGTAATATTTTTCTTATTTCTACATTTTGCGAAATTAATCATTATGATTCGTAATATAATTTTTGAAAATTAATGAAAAAATACCAAATATATGTGCTAGTTATCTTGAAATTATCAAATCCGGAGGAGGATTAATGCAACATGCTTGTAGTATTTCGTGTTTGTAATGCTGTGAAATCACTCGAATCAGTAATGCAAACACATCGGTGTCGGTGCTCTAAATATTAACTGTGTTCAAATTCTATGAGGCATCTAATGTAGCATGCGCATACATTCTACGATACTAATTATTAAATTACAGGTGCATCAATAATCGTGATAATTTTATAACAGTTGCGTTATCTTAACAATGTGCAAAATCCTCTATCTCTCTAATTCTTGCAGACAAACTATAAATTATGCTCAATATAGTATTTTATAATTCATATCGTTACGCCCGAGCGCCGTTTACGAATTCACTCGTAAAACACTCCCATACTCGCGGAAATGAAAGAAATTGATTTAGGCGAATATAATGATTTCATGTGGAATTCTATGAAACACAACAGAACATAATTTAACGGAATGCGAAGACTAATGATTGAAAAAGCTGTATGATCGAACAACGCGTGCACAATCCGCTTAGATTCTCAGATGTCTTTTTGTTTATCATTTAATTATTTATCAATTCTAGAGATGATGTTTTTGCTTCATATCACGACTGTCTCATATTAATTAAGTACTGTGAGGAGACACAAGGACGTAACAATATAATTATTTAAAAAGTAGGATTTCAAACTAATTAAACACGCTGATGTATAAAAACACGATTGGCATATAAATGTTATCTTTTAAATCATATATACCGCGTTAACTATCTATAAAATAAGATTTGCGGATTGTATTTAAGAACTGAACACACTATGAAAATAATTACACATTAACATATTATAGTAACGATCCAATATAGGATATACTACCTACAACGATCGATTAGTCAATTCTCTTGATTGATAAAGCTACTTGACAATCTCAACGGCGTTTCTAATGTAAAAAGCATCGAGTAACAACCAGAAAAGAAACGCTTTTGATGTAAACGTGTTGAACATTGATGCTATATTAGTGTTGTACGTATTGATTGTTTGAAAACTTCTACTGCGTTGACATTTTGTGATATCTTTTGCATGTGTTTGTGTATGAGTATACGTGTAAATGCGTATCATTGCAAAATGGAACGAAGAAATAGTGAAAGCCAAACGATCGTATTGATTATGTAGTAACATCATAATTGCATCGTGGAGACAAGGGAATGAAGAAGAGGAGAGTTGTGAAAGAAATTACCATCGTCGTAATAGTCGCAGTGGTCGTAATAGTCTGTGTAGGCGCATAACAGAACAGAACGAAGAAACGTATTACATCGAGTATCACACAGAGCTTTTCTGCCTCGAGTAAAATCAACATTATAGCAACATTCATGTTTTTTTATAAAACCGTGACCACGAACTCTCTTTCGTTGCTTCCGCTGAACGCCAAACAGATTGTAATCTACAAAATTTAGCAAACGACAATTTTCAAGAATGCAATAGAACGGTAAATAATGGCGCTATTTTCGTAGTGACTTCTGAAACGATAAATATATCACCAAGCCGGTTGGAGATAATCATAATCAATAATAATTAATAATAATTATATAATAGAAATAACACCAAGAGAATGAAGGTATATCGGTGATACGGTGATAGAGTAAATACAAGGATGCTGTGTTCGCAGTATTCCAGGCTGATAAAAGACAATGAGATAGAGAAACCGGTTGGGGATGACTAACACGAAACAGAGTTCGCTGTCGTGGTTCCGTGAAAAAGACTTATCGTTGCACCGTCGTGGCTTTCGCTGGTCGGAATTATCGCCGGTACGTCGTACCTCGTATCCTATGCCGATGATTATATTGTGACGCATGGGGATGATGAGTGTGCCTTTGTATCTCGACGACGTTGCTAACGGTGTCGCTAAACCCTGGTCCGTCGTGGTAATGACCATGATGGTCATACCGGCCTTGTCGCCTTGGCGATGGCGATCTAGGCATTATTGGCGAGTGTCTTCTGCAAATTATGACAACAACGAATGAGAAAAAAAAAAAAAATGTCTATAACGATCAAGTACTAGAAAATCAAAGACATCAGTGTCTTTGAACATCCTTGATTCAGTGGTTTATTATATTAAATTTATTATTATATTAAAGTTTAGTTTCCACGAATTTAATGTACTATATTTTACTGGAATATACTATATCTTTCATTAATTTCTCATTTTATAGTTTGAAATACATTAGACTTTGATTTCATTCGTTTCTCAAATTACACAGTTAAAAAATTTGTGTTAAATTTAACACATCTCACCTGTGTCTTAAATGGTCCACTCAAATTTTTATGTTAATTTTACACAAAATTTTACACAATATGTTACTACAAATGTTATATAAAAAAATTAACTCAAAAAACGTGATACTGATACAATTTATAAGCAAACTGTAAAATTGTATATTTTTTAAGTAAAATTAGCATTTATGACATGTTAAATTAATACGTATTTTATATTCATTTATTTTTAGAATTAATATTTTAAAATACATTTTTATGTTATTTATTCACTTACTCAAAATTGTGTTATTTTGATACTAGAAATGTTAAATATTAATTTAACACAAAATATTTTTATTATTAAATAACAATCATATTGTATTAAATTAACTTAACTCGAATATGTTAAAAATTCAAAAATTTTTTTAACAAGGACTTGAGTGGACCGGTTTTTAATACAAATACAATATTTTTACTATATATTTTGGACTATAATTGGCCGTCTACAAATGGTCCTCCTTTGGAATTCTTCGTACACATACATGTGTACGAATAAATTGTACGCGACATGTACATATACATATATAGCGTGATTTTTTTCTCGAGATTTCATTTGCTTACATACTACAATACCTTATACTTGGTGATCGTGAACGTCTAGAGAGGAGCGCCGAGGGATGCGGACGAAGGACTCTGTCACCAGGATGTGTTAGACTCTCGAGGCTACCAGCACGCGAGTCGGACGGTATAACGTCTTGCTCCTAAACGAGAACAGACTTTCGACTTAGTAGTTTGTCTGTGTAATTCAGAATCGGATTGGGAATCGGGGAGTCGGGGTGTTGCCGGTTCTTTGTCTTTAGCAATATCGCGCTGTCGATTTGCGCGTTCCGAACAAGGAACTATCGTAACACGACTATCGAGATGCCTTTTGTCTCCGGAATTCAAAAGCAGACGCACGTTTGACTTATCATTTGCCTCATTTATGTTAGAGACCTATGGTTAATTAAATATCATTCATATGCATAATGTAGTGAGGAATACGAGCAGTTTAGATGAACTAAAGAATTGAATAAATATTTAACATATTTTTTTATTAATAAAATTAATAGCATTGGTAAAATTTTACACTGACGGCTATCAATTTTATTATCGCAAAATATCACAGTGATTTAATACCGTGGTGATAATTACATCGATGAATTACACGAGAAGAACACGAGATAAAACTCATGTGCAAAACAATACTTTTTTTAGACACGTGCGATCTGCTTCTTTTTGTAATTTTTAGCATATAGTTTTGTGACTAACAAAGTTAAATATAGCTTCGCATAAAATCAGGAGAAATTAAGAGATAAGGCGGAATAAGAATAATTCACACACAGAGATACATACATATGTGTGTGTTGAATGGCATGCAAATTAGAAAAGTCTCGCTCATGCACATGCACTCGATAATAAGTTCCGATCGCTTAATTGGAAAAAGGAAGGTATCCGTTATCTTCGAGACGGGAGTCTCTCTCGCAAGAGTGTGCTATCTTACTTACTTACCAGGACGTGGACATAAAGAGAATCAAGATAAAACATTACAGATGAGGAGAACGAGGCAGTCGTGCGATCGTGTTGACTGCTTCGTTGCTCCAGCGATATTCCTAAGGCCGAAAGCAGCAAGGGACAAGGGGGTGGGAACTGTTCTATGCATCGACACGAGAAGAGTCGCTAAGACCTTTCGGGTGACACATGTGACTATTTCTCTATGTGGTATTCACGCTAGAGCGTTGTTTTTCTAAGTGTCGTTATTATTTACAGGAGCACTAACACTCAACGAGATCCAGATCGATTCGGCCAAGACCGATTCTTTCAGCGAGCAGTGAAGGAAATTTACACAATACTGATAAGTAGTGAGAGCACATGATCCATCCAATGCAAATTAAAATTTCGTCCGATTCCACTGTGAATCGGTCTTGAGCGCTTAAGATCACGACATCACGGGCAATACCTCTCGATCCGCGCGATACTTCTTGAATAATTATCCTTTCAGGATTGGAAAATTTGAAACTCGGATTGGTAGAGAACGTCAATTAGCTGGCTTATCTAAGACGATTCGTCCTAATCTAATTTAAACATAAATATTTGCGATTTTTCTAGCGGGAGTTTAATTGTTTTTTGAAATCTAATTTCATACTAACGAAACTTTATCTAAGAGCGTTCATCATTTATCTAGATCTCATTACAAGAACTTTTTGGGGGAAGGTCACATTTTCTAAAAATACTTTTGGTGACACAATTAATTACAATACTAACAATAAGTGCGAGATAGCATCCTAATTTAGATCAATGTAGCAGAGCAAATTCGCGATAGAGAAATCATAATCTAGAATTATTTTCAGGTAAAATAGAACAGTCTACGTGATCTATATTCGATTACAGGATGTTTCTGTATTTCGATAAATTTTCATTATTAAATTGTTAAAATTTTTACGCATTATTGATGTCAAAAGTAAATGCTTTGGCGTATAGACAAAGATATTTTGTACTATTAAAAAAAAGCAAAAATAATGATAGATATGATCTCTAATGCAAAAACCTGTTTTTTATATATTAAATAAATTAATTTAATTGAATAAAAATTGATGTATTATTATATTCAAAATCTATCAATTTTATAGTCGAAATGATCAAAGATAATGTCATGTTTTTTAAATCAAAATAATGTCAATTTCAGAAAGAAGGCCAAAGATCTCAAGGAAATAAGAGCATTTCAGAAACATCTTGTACTTGCTACGAAACTAACACATCTTAAACGTATCGTATACACGATAATCGCGATTAATATGTGACCACATCTCGAGCGAGATAACGGACAGGGTCTTTTCCGGCTTCTTTTATCACAATCTACTTCCAATAGGGTCAAGGGAGAGAGGACATTCTCGAACAACCGAGGAAAATCTTTTGATCTTGGACCGAGCCGACACCTTGTGGTAATGGATCGAGGAGCGAGGTGCGTAGGTGTTCTGGTGTTGGTAGTACGAGGGTGGTCGGTGGTCATGATGATGGTGATGGTGGTAGTATTGGTGGTGGTCATAGTATTGATCATTGTCGGTATCGTAGTAGTATTGGTCGTGATGGTGATGGTCGTGGTAGTAGTTGTTTTGATCATCCCGCTGGGAGGGCACCTCGGCCAGCAATGGCTCTAGCTCGGGGGCGCGATCCTCGCCATTAACTACGAGTACAACCCCAGACCCACCCCCTCCCTGGCTACTCTCTCCGCTGCTGCCTAGTATATCGTACTGGCGAGACATCTTCCAGTTCACCTTTTTGTTTCTGAAATCAAAGTAACCGCTATCCTGGTATACTCTTGACAAAGAAATATGCTGACAATAAATAGACTAAACATTATAAAGCAATGTAAATTTATTAACTCTTAAATAGACAATTATATGAATCCCAATTTTTCTACATCGTTCTCTTTAAAAGTAATATAATTAAAAAAAATTAAGTTTCTTAGAAAAACTATTTTTTACAATATCATTTATCTTATATCTTTTCTGTAATATTTTTTAATGCATTTTACTTTTAAATTATACATAAAAAACTACATACCTGATGCTACGCTGACGTCTGTGCTCGGCGGCTGCGAGGACGCCTAGGGCCCCTTCCTCCTCATCCGTGTGATCTCTGTGTCGTTCGTGCTTCGCTTCTATGGCCGGTCGCATCACCGGTTCGAGACTGTTCGCCCTACTTCCAGCTCCGTGATTATTTCCGGTGTGATTTACCGCCGCCATGTCCAGCAGGCAGTTGAAGAAGGCCGATGGCTAAATTGCGAAACGTGCGAAAGCACACTGGCTATCAGAGCTGATCGACAGGGATCTCATTTTTCGATCAACAATTTCTTTCTTTTCTTTTTTTTTCGCTTTTATTTCTTCATTTTTTTTAGTTTCTTTGGCATATGTATATAAATAAACTATATATACATATATGTACAGGCACATACAGGCTTTTTTTCTTAGCGTTACCTCTCGTCGGTGGTCTCTCGAAAAATCGTGGTAGAACATGAGACGCTTATAAAGATCGGAAGCATTCAAAGTCCAGAATCAACAGTGTAAAAAACGGTGAGAAAGATTCTCAGAATAAAGAGGCGGCCATGCTAGAGAAAAGGCATGCCGTGATGGTGCGTTTACTTGTGTCTATTTTATGGCGGACTCTTCCATATCTCGAACTACTATATACGTTCGAGAGAACGTGTGTGAATGCAAGAATTGCAAAAAACAGTAGTGTAAACGGTATTGCAGCGGGGCAAATTTTGTATTGCGTCGCAAAGCCTGTATATGTTGATCGAGACTGTTATGTATACAAAAAAAAAAAAAAAGAAATGTTATTCCCCTTTTTCCCTCATATACGAAAGTGTTACAAGTGGACACAAATGCGTTAGTAAGGAAACGCGGTTAATCTTTTGAAAGACGTAATAGTACTGCAAGAATGCAATTATTAGTAAGCATGCAAACGGATGAAGTCCCGATGTTCTACCTTAGTTCTGCACATATTCTATATATAATCAATAAATTATTTTAAATAATTTATGCGTTACAATAATTAGAATTCTTTTTGTATCATTTCTTATTAGTGTCGCGAGCTACCGCGGATAATTTATATTTGTGAGGTTGAACACGGATAGTTCATTCCGCAAAGATCATACAAATATGCCAAATAATCGTGGACAAAATTGAAATCGGCTGCTTGGTATGCAAAAAACGGGTCTAATTGTAAGTAGAAGTATATTCCAAGGTTGAGGACATGCCGCTATATGAGATGTCTCAAAATCATTGTATACGTATTTTAATAACAATTATTTCAGTCTTTAATTTTCGTGAAACCGAATTTTTTATCATTTATCGCTTTAACAACTGCCATTTTTGGGACATCCTGCATATATCGGATGCTTATATGTCAAGTGCTTGCTAAATCTGTAAAAACAGGAGCTGTATCTATCGAAAGACATTTAGAATGCAAATAAATGAGGCGAATAAATCGTTTTTCATCTATTGAGCTACGAATTGCTTGCCACGAGAGGAAGTGATCATCAATGTTTACGAAGTATTCATCAACATTTACGGTATACTTTTCGTAAGCATCGTCGAACACGCCCTGTTGCTCGCCATATTCGCGATTTACAGGAGCAATTTACAGAGATACTTGCAGATTTTGGCGGATAACTTATTCGCCAAAAGTTGAATACATTGTTATTATATGGAAAGATATTTAGTTTACTATATCACAGATTGTTAAGATTGATTTATCTTGTGTCAGTGCACGTTAATACGTGTGCATGTGTATACAATATAGAGAGTGTGTCAAATGACGTGTGACGTGTAACTGAAAGAGCGGAAAATTGCTCTAGTAGAAAGCGGAAAACTGTTCTAGTAGAAGAAAGCGATCGGATAAGTTGGGCAATACTACGAGTCTACTCATGAAATCACTGATCAAAAAAGTGCCTATTAATCTCCTCTACACTACTGCGGGTAAAACTCGTAAGAAATCAGAAAAAAAAGAATCTTTTCGGCAATAGCTAGCAGGAGCGTTATCATCAGCTTCCGCATTAACTTCGCACCGTAAGAAAAAGATATTTTTAGGATCATCTAGCATCTAAGAGAAGAGAAACGATGAACTAGAAGAATCAATCTTCATAGCGTCTAAAAGAGGATGTTAAAAATGGGTCGATTTTCGCCCCCAAGCCACACCTGAATAAACCTAGAAAAATCATCGTTTATTTATTACACACACGCGCGCACGCACGCAAGCATGGCAGAGAGGGTTTGGAGTCGCTAAATACTACAGGAGTGACGAACTGTGGGGGCCTGATCTCTGTCAAGGAATACTAGGCGGACTGTACCTCCACGTGGTGCATCCTAGATAGTGTTAAAGTAGTCCGCAATCTTTATATGAAGAATGTACTTACGTTTCTGGGTAAAATCATCATTTTTTACTTATTAACTGTATATGTGAATAATGTCATTTTTATTATATTTAAGCCATTCTAGCAACGTTCCCACCACTTCCTGGACAAACGATTGTTATTTCCTGTTTTCTGAGGACCTAAACGATGATTTTTCTAGGTTTATTCAGGTGTGGCTTGGGAGCGAAAATCGACCGTTTTTAACTTTACTTACTTAGATATTAGATGATCCTGAATCTGTTTTCTTATTAAGACCAAGCGAGGCAATCGATATCCGCGTAAATAATACAATGTAAAAATTTTCTAATAATAAAATTAATTATACGACTTTTAGAAAATTTAATTACTATTTAATTAGGTACCAATTATTCCACAAATAGTTCCATGACGGCTAATAATCTTTTATTATTAGAAATTTTATATTATTTGAACTTGTAACAAGCGCGAAGTTGAAATGCTTAGAGCAATGTAATTCCAATTTCTACTTTAAAAAATTTGTATTGAGCTAAATAAAGGAGAGAGATATTTGTCAAACGCTCGTGAGCAAAATGGACAGTCCGGTAGAATGAAAAAGAAGTATCTAGCGTCACGCTCTAAAAATAATTGAATATCGCCAAACTATATGTTTAATTAATCGAAAAGAGGCTGGCAAGAAAAGAGTGTACATGTCTAAGAGGCATTTATCGTAGATTGAGGCAAAAGGCGGACTATATATATAAATATACGTTCGAGAATCGATTATCTCATCGGGCTACTTCTCGCTCTAAATAGACTCAAGAAATGGAGCTCTATAAGGTCATTTACTTACACATAACTATACCGGTATTGCCGGTCGACAAAGAGCCGATTCTACACGCACGTACACGTGCGTATGTAGCTACGTGTTACCCACGTGTCGGCAACAACACGACGACTAAAACAACTCTGACAACGTATTACAATCATATATATCACTGCAGGAGCCGCTCGCACACGCGGGACCTTGAAAGTTATAAGGAGAAGAGATCATCTTCCCTTCGTGATATATAGATCGAAGTGAGAGCTATTCTTCGACGTTATCCTAAACTATAAGTTTGACAAAAGGAAACGTGCGATTAGAAAAAGAAAAAAGCCTCTTCGTAGAAAGGCACTAAGTATCTAAAGACTAGCTCGTGTGCGAGCCTGATTAAAGATCTATTAGGAATTACGTATCTAATATGATAAGTGCCTAAGTAAGATAGACTAAAATGTATTGCCGTGTTAATGTATAATATGCGAAACAGCTATTCATTTTCTCGCTACCTTTCATCGTTAATTAAATTTTCTATCTCTGTGTGGATATTTTGCGTTCTTAAATTTTATAAACTTATTCAAAATGTACAAAGATATATTTTCCCTAATTTCAAAACATGGTTATATAACTGTTTATATATTATAATTTTAAATTTTTTCAAATATATGATAACTTAATATTACGTTAAGATTTTATGCAATACAAGTTTATTTTAAAGTTAAAAATTAATTTAAAAATATAATTCTACAGTTTTATCATGTGCGCACTCAACTTATTCGTTAAATATATTGTACTTGATATTGTACGATAATGATTTTGTATGACTATATTGATGACAACAGCTGTTTCGCTACGCCTTTGGTGGTGTGTACATGTGTACATGATTATATTAGTGTTAAATAAAGGGCTACTTTACATAAATGAAAGACAGGTCGAAAGTAATTGTATACACTTATGACGAATGAAAAAAAAATTGTGTGCAGTGTAAAATACAAAAAGACATACCAGAGGCGCATTAGTTTTACTATATGTAATAAAAAATAAAAATTAATTTACAAGTTATTTCGCACAATATGTTTCACGTAAATATTTTATTGTTTAGAATATCAAAGAGATATAGGATATAAAAAAAGTTATCAAAAAATATAAAAGACTATTTATATATCTTAAAGAAAGAAAAGTAATTCGCATAAATCGCATTACGTGAGACACTTTGTATATGCGTGATGCATTTTTCTTGCATCCATCGTGTGTGCCTCTGGATAATGTGAGTGAAGAGTGAAATAGAAAAAATTGGACTGTGTGAAAAGTGTTATTTTAGAAAAAAAATGAATTATATGCTGCAAAAGATTCGTTTCTTTTTTAAAGTAATGAGTTTTTATGGAAATATTAGAGTTAAATGTCGATAAAGAGATCGAAGAAACTTTTGCAGTATTAATGCGAATCGGACGAATGTGGTTAAAATTTAAAAACACAAATTGTACAGCCAAAAGAAAAACAAAATAGTGTTAAGATAAGATATTAAGTAAGAGAAAAAGTAAGTACTACCGCCTGGGCTGCAGGACTTTGCCCAGCATTATCGTTATCGATAAGATCGTTATCGTTCTGGAAAATAAAGAGAAAAGACACAAGGAGATGATTGAAAATTGTGTGAACATCCTTCCGGTTTGAGTATATTTAAAAAAATAATTCAATCGGTAAATTAATTATTACTGTTAACTGCTATTCTTTAGATGTCATTAATCCGTTTACTCAAGAATTTGTAAATATTCTCTTGTTCTAGAGATACCCAATTAAAAATAATAAATATTGTGTTCTCTGTTATCTAATAATCTAATTTAAATTCATTCAGTATCTTCAGGCTTTCTATGATATACAAATATTGTTGTCCAATCGATCTACCGATTGTCATTAAATAAAATTCTTTTATTAATATAAATGTAACTTTTTTCAATTCAACATCGATCTTAAAAATTATTTATATTAACAAATTATTTAAAACATATTAATAGCAATCGGTAGATCGAAAGCAGATAATCTATATTAATTACTTGCACAAATTTCGAGATACAATGTTCAAGTAATATCACATCTAATTGTTTCTACAAACATTGACTTAGCTAATATAAATAAAGAGAACAATTGTGCATAAATAATTCGACTAAATAGTTTGTTGTTTTTGTTGTCCCATTTTTAATGGGATCACAAGTGGAAAGGCATTATTTTCTTCTTGTAACGTTATTCCTTCATATATGTATAATTAGATTTATTTTTCATTAAAAATTTGATATAAACTTTTTTGTGAGATATCAAGACTACAATTTAAATATTTAGCCAGAATCTAATAAATTTAAATTAATTCAAGTATATCTATCTTTTGGAGATTTCTCCATCTGTGCTCAAAAAAGTTACATGATGGTATTAAAGCTCCGAGTGACAAGCTAAACTATACGAAATTTTCAAAAAATACTCTATTCGTAAATTCATTCGCGCACGGGCCCTATCACGAGGAAGCCAATGGCAATCATTCACTTCATTCTTGATTGAGATCCTCCATTTCGATTTTCCAATTTATTTCTTCTGCAGTGATAGTTTAAAAAATCAAGATAGAATTATTTATTTAATAAATATTTATTTATGTCGATTTATATCGTATTTTCATTTCATAAACTTGTCTAATAGGAAACAAGAAAATCGAACGAAATTCAAAAGAAAATCGTAAATGAAGGATCACGAAAGAAACTTAATACTAGAAATGCATCTTTAGGACCTGCTATCGTTCTCATGAAAAAGTTAGTTTGACAGAAGAAAAAAAAGAGGCTCACCTGTTCGGCAGACTTTAGCTGACCAAACCTCGTCGATCTCCAACTTTCGAGTATCAGAAGGCAGACGTATATCTTACCCACGGTGAGCTTGTCTCTACCCAATTCTGGAAGGAAGAAATGACACGATCATTATATATTGCAAAATATGTCTTGTTGAGTAAAGAAGAGCGAATTTTACCTTCATTCCTAGGTATCAAAAGGTCCAACATCTTTTTCGCTTGTAAAGGCCAAATACTTCTGATCGTGTCCCGCAGCTCTTCATTGGCTTGATTCATTTCATCGGCTGGAACGAAATAAAGAGTTGGACTTATTTGCATGATTAATTGGTATTATAACGTAAAAAATAAAAAAAAATTAATGTATAATATGGTATTTAAAATAAGACATATTATTTTCTGGTAACGTCTATGCTATGATGTAATTAAAAAAAAATATTTTTTATGAAAATGCGCTTTTTAAAATATTTTTGACTACACATGAAAGATACAAGAAATTGAAAAAAAATTGCATCAATCAACAATTGTTTTCTGCAAAATGACAGTAATCATTTCCCTTTTCTATGCCACATAAATTTCTATGTATAAATATGGACTCACCGCATCGCATTTTTATGCTGAGATTCTCGCGAATGAGGGCGAACAGCGTTGTCGTGAAGTTCACTTTGCCATCACCGTCCACCGGCATATTCATTCTGATGAGTTTCTTGTATGCAAGCCGATTTGGGCACTTGTTGCCAAACCCCAACGGCGGATCCATATTCTTTAGCATATCGTACATCTCCGTGTAGTGAATCTTACCAGTGGCGTTTGGATCATATTCAGCCCAGATCCGCACAAATTCGTCAAGATGATGTGCGCCCAGGATCGACGAGTCCCGCGTGAGGTAATCGAAGTTGTCCATGATGACGGCGACGAAGAGATTCAGCATGAGGAATGAGCAGAAGAAGATGAACGACACGAAGTAGGCGTAGGCGATGTTGGAGCCGCAACCGTCCTGTTCGGACTTTTCGGCTTTTGGGTCGCAGGGACGGCCCTTTACGCAGGACAACATGATGTTTGGCCAAGCCTCGCCCGTGGCACACCTGAGAAAATCGCATCTTGAGCATTTCTATTACGCTTTTCATGTCATGTCAATAGAAACAAGAACTGTGAATACTTCAGCAACCTAGCGCATTGCATGCGTCAGAAAAGCTGCGATTATTATGTTAATATTCCCAACCGCATGCAGACCTTCCAATTCTAAGTTAACCGATAACGCTTAACGTTAGTTGCTATGAGATTAGTTAACTGCGAAAAGTTATGGTGACTTGTTATACCTGAGAGTAGATACCTACAGCTATACAAATTCATTATTGAGATATATATATATATTATTTGATATATAATTATAAAAATTAAAATTTTGTTTTGATTGATTCAACATCTTCATTCTCCAATTCATTAGAGAACTGATAATAGTTTTACGCATTCCAAATTAGGTATATCAAAATATTTTGAGATTTCAATTAAAAATAAAAGTTATATAACTCTTATTATAAGATATAATACAATTCGTAAATAATACAATTTATCTTGTTTTGTGCTGTTAAGCGATTAGAAAATAAATTAATTTTATTGCGACTAGATTATATCATAAATATTTAGTCTCAAGTATAATTTTTTTACTATACAAACAATCCCAAGTTAGTATTATTAAGCAGCATCTTTTGCAATTGCAAAAAAAAATTGAATTGAAAAATTGCGAAAGTTCATGCGATATTTTGGCAAAAATTATGACATTATGTCTTTTGCAGCGCATGTTAAGTTTAGTTTCTATAATCTCCTCAGTCCTTTAATAAGATTTTTAATGTTTTAATAAATTACATATATGTATATTTCTTATTTGCATATAATAATTATATAGAAATAAAAATCCATTATTAACTATTATGTAAAATTAGTTTCAAAATTGTTATTAAGAACTAATAACAATTTTTATAATACAATTTTTTTAATCGATAATGCTTTCGTATATCTGTTTCGAGACTGAGGAGAGCAAGTAATTGGATTCCAGTCTCTTTGCAAGCGCGGCATGCATAAGGCCTAATATTTTACGCAACATGAAATGCGAGCTAGATACTGCGAACTTAATACGGCGAACTCAATTCTACACGAGGCTGCTGTGTATTATTCTGTTTGCTCTGAATATGCCGTGTCGTTTAGCCTGATTCTGCTTTTGTGCTCGATTTAGTGCTGTGAACTTTACAGTGAAACATGGTTGGATCGAAGCGAAAAGGCCTGCTGTGAACATACATCTCTAAATAATACGAATTAAATAATTAGAAGACTTCGCGACTTTGGGACGCTCAACGTGAAAATAACACAAGTCACATTTAATAAAGGACACAATATTGTTAGATTGAATATATTATATAGTACTAATATCTTAATTTGAATGTAATTTTAATAAAATATCTAAATATTTTTTGAAAATTTTGATATAATTAAATCATCACAAATCTCTTTGGATGCTATAGTGAAAATATCTAAGAGCAATTAAAATCTTTGAAATTTTTCCATAACTCAAACAAAATAAATCAATGCAATCAACTTGTGCAATATTTGCGATACATGCCTAACGACACATAAGTGATTCAATTAATTAATTCCTCGTCACGTAGATGTCACCAAAGATCAATCTGCTTTCGCATCACAATCCGAGGAAACTTGGATCGTCTTCCGCATCGTGCTCGTAACAAAATGATAAGTGAGCTGATAGATAGCTTGCCGCAGGTGTTGAGCGTGAAAGCTCATTCGATTGTTTTGCAAATCGCGCTGATAGTCGCGTGATCAAATTCAATGGCTAAACAGTTAGCTAAATTCCTCTTGCGTGACGTTACTTACCGAAAAAGCAGCATCAGACCTTGTATAAAGCTTTGGAAATTGTTGTGCTTCGTAATAGAGGTTTCAGCATCCAGCGCGATGTTACCGAATACCTGAGACCCACAGAAAGAAGAGGGCCGCAGCCAAAAGGCACAAGCGGCATTACAAATTTGCATCATCAAATATACTTTTTTTTTAAATAATAAGAAAATATCAAAAATAATTGGAATGTCCTCTGCTTTCCTTCTCGCTGGATGATCACTAATTTTAATTTTTGTATCGCTTCGATCACGGTTTTGTGTATGCGTGTATAATGAGTATTATAGAATTCAATTCTCTAACTACAGTTTCTCATACTTTTTCTTTCAACAAGTACACGGTGTACTCGAGAGAACTAAGATATAAACGAAATTTGTGGATTAAAACAAATTTGATTAAATTACGTTAATTTACATCATTAAAAATTTTGATTTATAAAAAACTTTATTTTAACATTTTAATAATTAATTTTTTGCGGATGATTTCATTGCGGTATATCAATTATAAACGAATGTAAGTTTATTAAAAATTATACAGTTGCGCGATAAAATACTAACTAATATTTGTTATAAAATTCATTCTCTCAAGTACTACCTTAATTAAAACTTCAAGACTTTAACTTAACGCAGGCATCTATAGGGCTGTTACTAATTAGGATGAGTCACAACAGATTAACACGTCGAGCAGCTTACTCTCATGTTACAGCTCATGCCAACAAAGCATTACTCTAGAGGTAATTTACGACGATCACACTTTTATATATATCCCTTTCAACTTCTCACTCTACGATCGACGACGTATCTCCCATCAGTATCGCGCGAGATCTTTAACGGTGCTTCATTGGGAACCGGAAAAGAATGGCTAGTGGTCAATCATACTACAAAAGATATTTTTCTATCAAAACAACTGTTATACATAAAATTGACATAAAATGTTTAAATGTTATAAAAACACATTTAACGCAATTTTTCTTTTATAATGTACGATACACGAAAGTCATTCTAGATTTCTATGACATCGTAGAGTCCTTTTATGATATTATCCTGCGAAACATCGTAAAAGATCGCGACGATAAATCAGCTGTGCGCTAAAATCGTTTCCCTCTCACATACGAAGATAAATTTTGAGGAAACAAATAAAGAAAAATCTCTTTTTACTTTTAAAAGATAATAAAACCGTTAGCTTATTTTAGAAGATGTCTTTTTCGTACGAAAGGGAAATGATAATTGGACCAGCCGATAAGTGGCCAGAGGTCATCTCATTCGTCGCCGTCGAACCGGCAGTCAATCTAGCTGCTCGACTCACCGAAAAAGCAACATAAGACCGGCGAAGAAGGACTGAAAGTTGTTGTGATCATCGATCGCTGTTTCCGGATCGTTCGATATATTGCCAAAGACCTGACAACGGACAATTTCAGGGTCACTTAATGGCCACCGGGGGGATCTGCTGTCTGTCACTTAAAATTCCCAATCTGCAAGGTTACGCGTGCCAGAAACTACTTCGAGATCACTTTGACACGCCGTTTCTCACCCGATTCGAAGCTGGGATAATTACACGGCTCTCGTTTTTAGAGAAATATCTAAATGACGTTGCACGCTAGCGATAGTTCTTTACTTTGTAGATAAGCCATCGATCTTGAAGATCATTGGCCAATTATATTTTTTAATCAATTAAAGCTACTATTTTTTCCGTACAGAATCAATTACCAACAAAAATTCGAAAATCTTTTCTATGTAAGACCACAAACAATTTCGCATCTGTTTCTTTCACGTAGAACATAAGATAAGTATTATTCCATTTATATATATTTTTATATAATAATATTTTTAATCTTGCAAAATTTCCAATTTTATTAAATTTTTAGGTCTTCCTTGAATGATCATGTTACTTCAATCCTGCACCCTTCTGCACATCATCCCCCCAAAAAATACATTTAAAGGACAAATTCGTAGAAACTTCTTGAGAAATCGAAGCTACGGAAGAGGATTCATACCTGCATACCGATGATAGCGTAGATGAAGAACAGCATTGCTATGAGGAGACAAACGTAAGGCAGAGCCTGGAAGAAAATAGGTTTTTATTATCGTTATCTCGATAATTAATCCTGGAAGTTGATGGTGAATGAAGCAAAATTTATAACGATCAAGGATATTGAAAGATAAGAAATAATAACCGCTGTTGGCACGTATGAATTAAAGGGATGCAAATCAATAATTAAAAAATTAGAATTTAATTTAACGAGACGTGCTTACTTTAAAGGATTGTACGAAGGTCCAGAGTAAAATACGTATCGTGTACCCCTGTCTCAGTAGTTTGATCAGTCTGGCGGCGCGAAAGAGCCTCAGAAAGCCGACGTTGATGAAGTTCTCCTGCAGGGGACAGAGGAAATTGCACTTAACCCCACAAAATGCCGACTCCTTATTGCGCGCCAGAACGGAGCTTCGTGCGTGCAACGTTTCGGCATTGCATGTTACGCGTCGAAAGATATTAATCCTTTCGACGTGCTATGTTTTCCTGTCCTCGGCGATGCACGAACGAAGCTATGGAATAAACTGACATTCTCTCGAAGAGATGTAAAAATGAGAGTAGCAGTTAAAACCTTGATGAAATTGAAGATCATTCTTAGGAATGCAAAATCACTGCCGAAAGAAACGTGGAGCTAATTATAAATATAAATTACTAATAACTACTAATCATTAGTATTATTGTAGAAATAAACAGGATATATTTTTATCAATAACTAATTGTATTTCTGTTGTATATTTCAGTAGATTAAGCTCTAGTGGTGTTTCCTTCTTTTTTTATTATAAAAGTCTTTTATTTCTACACGGATTTAACACTTTATATATTTTATTTTTAATCTTTATATATTTAATCTATATATCGATATAAATTTAAAGAGACTAATTCTAAATTGATGCGTAAATGATTTACTTATTTTATTAATTTTTATCAGTACAAATTTAAGTAGATTAATTCTAAATCAATGTATTGATAATTCTCAAGTTTAATTATATTAATGAAGAATCATATTTTACTATAATGATTGAACTATTTTAACTATTGAATTGCAACGCAATTACATATTTAAATTTCATTAACCCTTTTGCTTTAACGATTGAATCGTGTCCTCGATTATTACGTTATAAAGACAATTAATAAATCGAAATCGAGATAGATTAGAACACCGCATCCATATGCCTTTAAAAGATTGTTAGGTAACTAGTGTGGATAACTGTTTGGATTCATAGTCAGTGTTGTAAAATGACTGTTAGTGTAATGTACGAATAGTTTATGTATTCTGAAAAGTACATGCACAGGATAAATAAACGGGATAAAAGTGACTTAATCTAAAAATGACTTAGCAAAGACCTCGAGAAAATACTAGTTTCGAAACCCATTTCCTTCCTCTTGCTTGCAAATAATCACAAATGAAATCATATTGATCATCACCATTTTACCATAATTGTTGCTAATATAGGTATTTGAAAACGATAATATACAAAGATATCTATATCTGAAATAATAATTACAGCTTTTCGGAAACAGGAGTTATAAAGAAAGACTTACTTCGGATTTCTATACGAAAACTAAATTTAGAGAGTTGCGGTATTTAATATTAGTTCTGTACTTGCAATGTCGTAACTTCTTCCAACTTATGTCGTCAACATAAAAACTGGATAGTAATTTTATACCTTCTTTTCGCCTAGCTGGCCACCACTGGGCACGCTCGACCGGTCCTATTACAGAAATATGTAAGATTGCGAGATTATTCCATCCCCAATATTGAGCTTCTGATTGTTTAACTTTTAATAATTACAATGAGAACAGAAATACTAATGACTGGCAATCAACACTGGCGACGAGTAACTTCATAAGCAGTTTACTTTAATATCAGGACCAATACTCACTTCATGATAATTCTAGCTATTTTCTTACCTGTACTTCTAATAAAGACATATTTTTATAAAAAACATTTTACAAGCGCAGGCAGCAAATATATACAGATTTTGACACAAACTTATATTGAATATTTCTCTAGCAAGGGGAAGAAAAAATACACATAAATTTCGCCTTTAAATATATTTTAGTACATATTATCACTAATTCATGCAAGTGGCATATTCAAGCAATATTCAAATGTTTGCGAATTTGCATCGCAAAGGTTTTGAAATTTTTAATTAAATTGTATTACGAATCGATATTATTCGTATGGTGGCAGGTGTTAAAATATATATTAAAACAATGTTACAGTTATAAAATAATATTTTTTCTCTTATATGGCGTTGCCTAATCATTCACTTAGCTGCACATTCTATAAAAATTTACATAAAAAAAAGCGTATGAAAACCTTTCGATACAAATTTCTCACGAACATTTAAATATTCCGTTGTGTATCACTTGCTTATGGATTAGTGAAGAGTAAGTACTAAAACATATTTAAAATTAGGCAAAGTTCGTGAATACACTATTTGGTCCTCCCTCTTGTGAGATTGCAAATTAATACAATATTATTCATATCCTACATATATTACCGGCTAAATTGTAATCGCTACATCAATGGAATCGAAATAATCAACGTCGCTATGTGATTGGAAGAAATTTTTTGAGCAATACTCTATACAGTATATTACTCTATATAGTATTAATACTCTATATAGTATAGCTCCTTTTCTACCTCCAAACTACAACTGACATTAGTTAATCTAAGTCACAGAATATCAATCATATGTAGAAAGAAATATTCTAAATACGAAGAATGGAAAGGATTGGTATCGGGAACATGTTCCTGTTTATGTACATGTAGCTGTTTCACTATATAATTGCGTAAATGTTTACTGTGCAAATGTAGCGATGTACAGTGTGATGTATATAGCGTATGAATGCAGCACGAAGCTAAAAGGTGATACATACAAAGGTGTTCAAGGTATTTCGGTTGTCGTAATTTACCTGCTAGTTCGTCACACGGACTTTGCACGGCGAATCTAACAATAAGTAAGCAGCAAAAGGGTTAAACGAAAGACAAAAGTACACATCAAGCAACACTGCCGCGAGATTAAGGGCCACTATTATAGATGCATGTTCCGACAAAAAGCGACATTCCAACAAATTCGTCTCGAACATGAGAATTAATCTAACATGTTGAAATAATCGCGGTGATACGACATAAAAAATCTCGACATAAAATCTTACGATAAATAATAATGTATTTCTTTTAAATAAAAAATATATATAATTTGAAATTTTCTGCATGCAACACATAAATCTTCAATTTTCAACTTTTAATCGTTAATCATCGAGTCTGAATATATTAATTGTACTATTTTGAAAGTAATTAAACATTCATTATAATAAATTTTCTCTATGTAAATTTTATACAATTAGTATTATATCTGTCGTACATCAAAATGTATCTGATATACAAATGTAAATGTAGCTTCTCATCTAATTTGTTTATGATACAATCATCATTCATTTGCATCAACATAAAAGATCAATTCTGACATTTGGTGCGACTTCATCGGAATGACTTTTCATCAGAGCAAGCAGCTATCGTAATCACAGCCTAGCCTCGGGTTTCCTGGAAGATTCCCGATTACATGTATATATACCTGGAAGATTTCTATTATGGGTTTTAGTAGCTAAAACGCAATTAACACACTTATACTCTTTTTACCGCTACGTTCCGGTGCTCTACGTACCCCGAACTCGATCACGAGGGCGTCCACGATGCTGCCGATCACCGTGATGAAATCGAAGGTGTTCCAGGCATCCTTGAAGAAGTTCTGCTCGCGGAAACAATCAAAAGAATTGATTAGCAAAATGATCTTATCATCCTCCGATTGAGTATTTATTTCTACTACCCCGAAGCTCGCTAAACAGCTCTGACACATTTTCCATCGCAATAAATGCAGATCAAAACTTTAATTATCGGTACTACTCTGTACACGAGCAAAGTCAAGACATCATGAAAAATAAGAATAAATAAGAACTGCGAAAGAGAAAGATTCAATACGCAATTAAAAACGAATATAGTAGTTAGTGGATAAAATATATTTCCTAATTTTTAGTGCTCTAATAACTTTTAATACAAAATTTTTAATTTGGGAAGAATCGCCCCAATTAAATTTTACGCTTCCGCTTGTAAACGCTTATTGCCTCCGAATGTAAATAAAAATATATATAGAAGATATATTCTCTCTCAAATTATATATATTAATATATAATTTTGTTCGAAAAATCATTTTAATTGATTTTATCAAAATGATTTTTATAGAACAAAATTATATTTATTATATTATATATAAATATATATAATATAAATATATATTACAATATATATTATATAAATATATATATTATATATATACATATATAAACATTTAAGATTATTGCTTACCTTATTGTCGCTTATTCCAATTAGACTTAACTGTAATTGCTTACTTAGAAACTAATAAAACAACAGTTTAGGAATAAAAGAAACGCGAATGAATACTTCATCGTTAAATGATTGCTGCTTTTCCATTCTTTTATAATCTTCTTATCCTTCATTATGTCTTGACTTGTATAATAATAGATATCAATAGCAAGCAAGTAATTCGAACTAATGATTGACATGTTTCAGTAATCTATTGAACGAACTTGGGTGTAGTTCTAGTGTTTGTGAGATTGTTTGCGTATGACTACTACTAAAGAAGAAACTACAAGTTCGACTTCAAGAAAAGTATATTATAATCTGCTTCTTTTGTGAATGTACGCTATTTTGTATGTAAAAGTGCCTGTGTACATGTGTTGTGTGCGTGTTCGTGTTCGTGAGCACTCCTATTATGAATGTAATACTTATTAAGTTGAAATTCTGTAACGTGTGCCTCTCTGAACGGTGCTTTTGAATATTGTAATGATCGTTGATCAGATCTCTTGGTCGTGGAATAAGAGAAGAAAGAAAAAAATAATTACTAAAAAGTAATTATTGTAATTACCAAAAGTAGTTTTATTTTTAAAAGTAGAAAAATTCATATTTTAATACAAATGAATTTTAATACTGTTATACAATTGAATTTAACAAATTAAATAATCAATAAAAATATGTTTATGTATTTTATTGTAAGAAGCAGATTTTTGATTTTTAATTTTTTATACAATTACAATGAAGTCATATTCATTGATGTTCAGCGAACAAATAGAATTTATTTGCAAAATTTCAAATCCACGAAGACGAAGACATCTGTTCACAAAAATTTTAAAGCGTTTACCCAAACACGCTTTGGTGATCGACGATCAGCTGAAGTGACGGGATCTCTTCTAGAGAAGTATCTACGGGAGCATGCCGGTAATAGCAAGCAAACTAGAGAGAGTGAGAGAGATAGAGACACGCGAACTTGATATATTTAACTTTTTTCTACTTTCGCCAGAAAATAGAAACCGTCGCGTCGGTTGCATTATGCAAAATATAAAAAAAATAATATTGAATTAGCTAATTTTTATAAATTTTTTTGTAAAATTCACATTAAAGAACTCATTTTTCGATTTTCATACAATTTTTCTCAACAACGTTGTAATTAATTGCTGCTTTCGTTTAAACTTTTTGATTTACAATATTATTTTTTTAATAATTGTATAAAAATTTGTTAAAAAAATAATCTTTTTATAAATGAGAGTAAGATTTTTTATATCTGTTTGTCCGTTTCGAGCTTAATTATTCAGATTCTTTATTTAATATTGAAGCCTTTTAATAGCTTTATTTAATAGTAATTATAATAATCTTTTATTTTTATTAATGTTAAAACAATCTGATATCTACTACATATCCTGCAATATTTTAAAAAATTCAACAATAATTTTTTCAAGTGTTATAATCCTATTTTCTGGCAACTTCTACCTTTTGAATGCCCATTCAAAATACTGTAAGAATTTCATATTACACATACAAGTTTACTTTAAATCTTGATAAATCTACTTAAGAATAAACTTTGAAGGTACTTTTAGGTACTTTTTATTTTCGTGATAAACAGTTTCGCGATGTCTCGATGTGTTCCCTTCTGTTCCTCTCGCCAGTTTTTGGGATCCCCACTTTCTTCACGAGTATCCTCCGACCGGTAACATCACACAATTAGTGATGACCGGTGAGTGATGTCAGTCTCGATGGAGTTACAAGTGGTAAGAATTTGCAGTGTGAGTCAAGTGAGAGTGAGATGGAATTAGAGCGATTTAAGAGGCTTGTTTATACCTTGCATCCGAAGGCGACGAGTTTAAGGATGCACTCAATGAGGAAAAGGAGAGTGACGACCAAGTTCACGATGGTCAAGAAGTCCAATAAAACTGCCGGCGCTTCGTGATACTACAAAATATACCCAACACACAGACGTAACACAACCCAGACTCTAATATTCCTTTATGCGCCCTGCATATATATCTATACACGTATATCCCTTCGTCCTTTTTTAATTAGTCTCTGTATTCGATCGCTCCCTCTCTTCATCTATTTTTCCCGTCCGAATTGAACATTGTTACTGAATTAAAGAAGAGATTTTTTTTTCATTCAAGATATAAACGTCACTTAATCGAGAAATATATTTGCTCATTATTGTTGTCATTCTACTGTTATTTTTTCAATTATGATTTTCATTTTTTAAACTTTCTTTAAGACTCTCGTTAAAAATTTATATTTTAATTATAAATTTCAAAAATACATACAAAACTTTGTAATATAGAGAAAGATAAATTATTCGATTACAACTTTAATTGCTATCTTGTAAACTGTCAACAGAGAGAGAGAGTTGTATTGTCTTATCTTATTGTGTATTATAATATATTTCATTGCATTATATACCATAAATAACAAAAAGCATAAAGACTATATGTTAAGGTATATCCGAATATTACAAATACACATTTCCAGTACATTATTCTATTAAAAAATTGCTTTAATACAATTATTCATTATATAATGTTATATAAAATTATTTTTTGTCAAAAAATAATTAAATTTGATCTTTTATATATTTTTTTTAATAAGAAGACATCTCTTCTCCCTACCAAGTTACCAAGCAAATCTAACCAATCTCTCACAGGATGATTCTTTATCGTACGTGTGATACGTAAATCTCGATCAGTCTGTGTATGTAGAATACGATGTTCAATTCCATGTGTGCCAAGTGTGTGCATGTGTCTGAGACAGAAGTTAATGCTTATTAATTATTCCCACAACACAATGACATGCGTGCGGCGAACAGCAGCGAGGAGCTCTTTCGCGACTTCTCGACTTTAGTTTCGTTGTGATCACCATAGATCATTGTCCTTATTGTCATCATCATCATTGTCATCATTGTCATCATCATCATCATTATTGTCATCATTATCATCATTACTATCATCTTTATCTTTAGTTGTTATTATTGTCATTCCCAACCCATAATCGCAATTATAGTAATCGTGATGTTTGCATGCGAGGATCAAAAACATATCAGACCGTGCAAGTGATTACATGCGGATACAGACAAAACGGGCAAGGCATGCAAAGGATATAAAAAAGCAGCGCTTCCTTTATGTACACTTTTCCTCGGCTTCCGAAACTTCCTCTTGGATTAATTTTCCACTCGTTCCGTCATTTTTATTTTGAAAATATTCCGAAAAATAAATCGACAAGCGAAAAAAATAAAACACAAGAAAGAGAGAAGAGTAAGAGAGAGAGAAAGAGAAAAGAGAAAGAAAGAGAGAGATAGAGAAAGTAGAGACGAACCGACCATGAAGTAAGACTAAGGAGACCTAACTAGATAGGATAGGGAGAAAAAAGTTGGTCACGAAAAATGTTCCGTGTACTGCCATGTCCACCGAACGGAATAACTTGTAACATTTCCATCGCCATATTGAATATTTATATGTGTGCAGTATACTTGCGACTGTGTCATACATATATGTATTAAATACGTGTCTCCTAAGAAGTAGAGTAGCTTGCCCTCCTAAAATCTTAATAAAAATATACCCATTCGTCGCGTTTTCACTCAAAACGAAAGAATCTGTAAGAAAAATGCGGCGATCGGCCTTGTGAACCGAGTTATTAAGCGTTAAAGTTCGAGACTACAGGTTAGGATATTTGTCATTCCGAAAATAATGGAAAAAAAATAAAAATAAATAAATAATGGAAATTGACAATAATGGTCCCAATATTCATATAAAAATAATATATTTTATTACTTTTTAGCTTTTGATAAAGAACGATAATGGAAGTTCGTTCGTTTTGAGTGAAAACGCGACGAATGGGTATATTTTTATTAAGATTTTAGGAGGGCAAGCTACTCTACTACCTCCTTAGTCTTACTTCATGGGACCGACAGATAGAGAGAGAGAGAAAGAGAGAGAGAGAGAGAGAGAGAGAGAGAGAAAGAGAGAGAGAATTAAGAAGAAATAGACAGAAAAAGCAAGAAAGACAAAATTGAAAATAACCCGATGTGAGATTTATGTTCTCAATTCGTCATGTGATGTATTCATGAGTGCCATATGAAGGTGTGTGATGTATGAATCTTTATGTGTATTTGTAAGTGTAACTGTTAACTTTCCATGTTAGTATGTGTTAAATTATAAATTCTAAGAGCGCATTTATGAATACTATATTATAAGCGTGATTACACATCTTTAATCAGATACAAAACGTAACTGTAATGGAAATAATACAAAATATTACATTTTCGCGGAAAGACTTACTTAAACTTTTAATATTACGATCAAATATTTGTGTGTGCATGTGCGCGCGCGTGTATATGTGTGAACAATCGATAGATACCTATATTTTGCAAATATTCGATCGTAGTTTGCATTTTTTAGTATTTCATATAAAGTTTGTGTAATTAGCTTATTATGATAACGGGACAAAAAAAGAGTTAATATTGTAAAAACAAAAATTAACAAAAAATAAAAAAATGCAATACTAAATTTACAATTAATGATTTAATCCCGTTATTATTGTGTTCAGTGTAATTATGAATGTAGGAAATCTGAGAAGATTTTCATCATCTTTGCTTGTAGCATTTAACGTATGAGTAACAATTGTATTATATTTCATATCTAAAATTTTATTTTTGCTGTAAATAAAATAATACAACTCTGACTTAATTATATTGATTGTGCCTGATCAACTATGCTCTTCATATTAAATATAAAGTCAAAGTTCCACAATAATAGCTACAGTGAAAAAAAAGGTATGAAATTCACTAAATGAATAATATAGTTCAAAAGCAGACGACTTGAAAGATGATAAAAAATATTGTATTTTTCCAATCTACCGAATTTTTAAGAAAGAAATTCAGATTCATAAGTAAAAATAAAAAAGATTTTGTGGTATTAAATCTTGAGTCTTCCCAGATTGTCCTGAAGCTCGATCACGTGTACAGAGCTGAGCATTTTTTGCATACTAAAGTACTTGTAGACTTCATTGATACTATCCCAAGTACAGAACAACAAGTATGAGTAATGAAAAAAAAGTTTCTATCTAGATCTTGCAGCTAAATCCTTGCACAGAGGAGCACGAAAAATACCATTCTAGTTCTATCGAGATACATATCTATATATTCGTACGAAGGTATATCGAGAAATGGAAACGCTACAACTACTCCGACAGCATCTAGCGCTTGTTCAGCCCTGCGCACAGAAAGTTCACTAAATAGTATATTCTATATACTTGTAGAGGTATACACGCGTGAGATAGAGTATATATATATATATGAATGTCTCCGGAGTACCGAAAGTGTTCCGATAAGTCATATTGCTACATCGGTACTCGCGAAGAATCACTTCTAATTACCTTCTAACAAGCGGCACTTACCGGGCGACGCGAAAAGTAACTCTCTCGTGATGTTCCTTCACATTCCATTAAAACTGTTACAGCAATTTTATCATTTTGAATCATTTTAAGAATTTTTTCTAATTTTTTTTCTGATTTTTATTGATAAATTAATGTCACGTACATAAAATATGTTCAACGCCAAATTATTTTAATATTTATTAATTATCTCGATAATATGTCAATTCTTTTGACAGCAGCGAGAGATTCCTGGATTTCTTCAGGCTTCCAATTTTGGGGAACAATCACGAGGAGTCACCTTTCACTCGACTTAGCGAGAGTCTCGAATTAAATCTCGCTTTACTTATAGAATATATTGAGAGTTCGATGAGAGAGGGATGTTTGGCGGTATATGGAGCCTACCTTCACGCCGAATGCTGCGATCTTCAGTATGCACTCGACAGTGAACATCCCCGTGAAGCACATGTTCATGTACTTCAGCGTGTTCTTGTACGAATCGCTTTGCTGATGGAACTGCAATGCATACACTGACAAACACACAGCCGGACAAACAGACATACGTACGTACGTACAAGCCTTAATCGCGTGTCTCGCATTTTCTCATTGCTTTCTTTCGGCACAGCCTTCTTTCTTCCTCTGACCATCGTGAGTGAGGAAGAAAGAAATGGCTGTTTCATCTTTTCTATTCTTTTTTTTTTTACGAAATTCTGTGCACCGATACATGAACATTCTGTGCTGCACAATATATATTGTAAAACGGGGTAACCGCACCAGCAAGATTAACTATTGCTTTAAGAACAGAGTACAATGTGAAACCGTCAAATATGTTAAATAAGATTTATTTAATATATTAATAAATTCTCTCCTGTTGATTAGTAATTTCCAACTACGGTCAATAGAATCAACTTACAATTAAGGGGATGGGTGAAATAAAGGCCTAATTGTAAAATCTTGATATTAATAAAAATTAAAATAACTTGCTACTTTTTTATTATACACAAATGAGTACAGTATCGAATCAATTTATGTAATGCCTTTAAGAAGTTACATGTTACAATACTTTTCTATTACGATCAATATTACAAAAAGCTAATTGCTAAAAAAAGGGCCGAAGTAGAATTGTGCCTTTATCCCGTCCATCCCCTCAATTAGTGTTTAAAAACTCGAATAATTTGATATAAAACGTGATTATATATATAAAAGGAACTACATGATCTGTAATCTTTTACGCAAATCACTTTTCATGCCGTTTTATTCGCATAGCGTAGAAATTGCATAAAATACAGAATAATATCAAATAATGTCAAAGTAAAGTTTTTCGAGGTAAGAATAAAAAAGTGTATAATAAAATTTCAAATAAATCGCGTTTTGCTCGAGAATGATTCGCGGGTCATGTTAAGTGTCAGCTTTTGGGTGTCACAAATTGGTACACAGTTTAGTCGTACATACGTACGGAGTGTAAGATAAAGTGCGAGAAATATATGAAAAGTTACGCATATGTAAAAACGTAGTGATGTACGCCTATATATTCATAGAATGTAGGGAGGGAGACATTTTCTTAACGTCGTCGAAACTTATACGTGTACGAGCCTAATCGGTATGCGTGTATATTTGTTCTCTTATATTCCTGCGATATTAATTCGTCTTTCGCCAAGTGTGGTGCATATGTTAATTATGTGTACGTGGTTCATTAGTACCGTTATCTGCACTTCGCGTTCATATATATGTATTTCTTTAATTGAACTATGAGAGACATCAGGCATGTACTAAGATAACTGATGATCGACTGATCTTCTGGATCAATGGATTGTATATGGGGAATTTTCTAAATGATGGACTTTGTCGGACCCAATGACAAGAAAAAAATCGTTTAACGTAACACAAGTTTTAAGACAGGATTTTTTCGTGTTACATATTTTAAAAATTACAGAGACGAAGAAAGGTCCAGTGGATCCAAATATTTTCTTCAAGTATGTTGTGAAAAATTGTTTATAGCAAACCTTACATAATTTTAAATTACATAATATTATTTCTCAGATTTTGACCTCTAAATGAAAAAAACCAGTCAATTACGTTAACCTTAAGCAAAGATACATCAATTTAAAATATACTGGACCCTCAAATACCAATTAAGAAAATTTCGGAACAAATACCAATCAAGATTAAATATACACAAATTTAAACAATATATTTTATTTATACTTGTGAGATGAAAGTAAAATCTAATTGTAAGTTAAAATTAAAACATGAAGAATTTGATATTAATGCAAGCATTAAATGAAATTTAAGTTTATCATTAAATCAATTGTAAAGAAATAAATCTTCTTTCTGTCATTGTTTTCCACGGAGTTGTGGACCGATAGGTTGGGCATATACGAATCAGTGTCTGAAGAAACTAGTCGCAGAACTGATAAAGACTGATAAAAAAGAAATAAAGAGAGAGAAAAAAACAGAGAAAAATGATTGAAGAAAACGTAAAAAAACAATCGAACAAAGACACTTAAAGTGAATGGATTTCCGAAACGAAAAGAGTGCAGTTCAATTAACGATAGGATCGTCAGGAATTACGAAACTTCACTTTTCGGAGTGCTTATACCTCTGCATCTTTCTTTTCTGTGTGAAGGAAGAGGAGAGGATGAAACGTGCGAACGTCCCGTGCAGTGTGTTTCTTGTCATTGTAAAACACATTCAGCAGATATATCTAATATTGTTGTTATTTCGTTCAGCTTTTAGTTTGATCAATTTGTTTCGGCGGCAGCCAGCATGCGACACGCAGTTTTGCACATGTGTGAGAAGTGCTAGTGGACACTCTATATGTATATACATATATACATACATCGTATCAGTCGCCAATGTGTTGAACGAGAAGACAATCAATTATAATCCAAATACCGAGCTGGTTAATTTGCATTAGATTATATTTCATATAATAAATATGTCATTAATGCATTATATAATATGTTATTAATTATTTTATATCTTTGAGAGAGATTAAAATGATTAATTTTGTGATTTCAAAGTGAAACATCATTTAGACGTAAAAACTCCTGTTAACTATAAATTACAAAATATTGTTAATTATATCCATTAATTATTCCAATCACAAGAGACAACATATTTTCACATAAAATACGAACATATTATGTATAATACATAATTCTGCTTTTGCTAATTTAATATTACTTTTTTCTTTCACGAATTTTCCTTTAAAAAAATTTCGAAAATACGCAGAGCGTTTTCACAATACGAGAACAAAATATTACTGTCTCCTCGTTTGTGTGCAAATGTGCTGAGCAACATGAACACATGGTGTTTCATTTGGTATGTGCTCTCAAGACTAGATGCAGTGCGTGTGCAAATATGAACACATTCTGTATGTTTTTTTCAGACAAACAGGTCGAATCCGACCACAAATCATATAATCGGGCGTTGCATATGGATTCGAATTAGCCTAATATGTATATATATATGTGTGTGACTGTTTCTAATTCGGTGGTTCTAATTTCAGGCTCAGGCTGTGATCTCGTTTAAGAGAGACAGAAAAATGAGGATAGATATTCATCTCGTGCGTTCAACTGTACAAGTCAAGGGAATTTAAAAGCAAACGAAGAAACTCACAATAGAATACAGGATTCGGCTCAAAACTGAAAGCGTGCACGAATCCGATTAATTCTCTCTCATGAATTTACATTTGTTTTATTCTAATAACAGTGGTTTAATAGAATTTGAGTGAATCAAATTTAAAAAAATCTCGCAAAAAAGGTAGCGTAATTTGTGATAATAATATCTAATTATTAACAATCGGACAATAAAACAGATAATAAAATTCAAGGAACAAATTCTTGATTTATAGCTCGATTTAACATTCAAATCTATTCAACCATTGTTATTAATTAAATGAAATAAACAATATAAACAAGACAATGTACAATTTTTTTATAAGTATTGATAATTATTAAATTAGGAAAAAAATTTTAATAGTTTCCTAACAATTACTCAATCATTGTAAAATTATTAAAAAGTCATAATTATTTTTGTTATTAAAATAATTATTTTTTTCATCAAAAATTAATAAATATATTATTTTCTTTATATTATAAAATTATTTTATATTATATAAATAATTACTTCATATTATATAAATAAATGCAACTTCTGTATATAATTGCTTTTATTCAGCTAAAAATTTAATTACTTGATCTTAAGTATATAAAAAAGTTAAGTTAATTTACTATTTTAACTATATATTAAATTTTAAATTTAATAAGTTTTAAATTTAATTTAAGAAAAAATTGTTATTATTACATTTTCTGAGAGAGACATTGAAAAGGAAGAATCAAACAGCTTACGAGCAGGGATCAAGGGTGCTTCAGAACAACACGTGGATTCTCACGTACAGGGCTTATAGACGCCAAAGAGGCGCAATCTTTTAGCACCTTAATTTTCTAAGTCAGTTGTATCAAGCCGGGACGAGTTGAGGTGCAACGTTTCACCCCGTTACCAGTTAAAACATGGTATTAGCAAGGTGAATGCATGAGCCGAACGCACGTTGTGTTGGTGTCTATACATGTTGTGGGGATTACAACTGATACACGAAAACGTGTGCCCTCTTCGCACGTTCCCAAATAAGTCTACTTCGAAGACGAGGACACAGCGGTAACCATGCAATTGGAATGAAAGATCAAACAGAAATCGATTCTGAGGTAAAGAAAAAAAAACCAATATACAAATATACAGCGAAATTAAAGCAAAATAATCAAATAAAAAGACAAATTTTTATTTTATTAATCTTCAAGATATTAAGAGATAAGGGAATAAATATTGTAAGTAAATAAAATCTATGTTGTAAGAACTGCTGTAAATAAAAATTAAAACGCAAAAATTAAATTGTAAAAATTAAATTGTAAAAATTATACAATGTACAAATTTTTTTAAAAGTTATTTACTAATTCTATTCCTTTAAATGCACTGTGATTCCTATGTAATATTGAAATATTAGAATGATCACAACTCTTTAATACATTTTAATAACAAATAATTTGTAAAAAATTATTTAATATTTTGAATATCAAGGAATCATTAATTTATATTTGTAAAATTAATTCATTAAATATTATGAGGTTCTAATTAAATACGCGAAATAACAATAAAACTCTAAGTTCAGCGCATAATAATTATTGTTAAAAGATATGATACTATATATAGTCGTTTGTCAATTGTTAAAAAAGTAAAATATTTTTAGAATTCTGAAAACAAAATAAAAACGAAGCAAAACAAACATTATGCCATTCGAGAGGAAGAAATTTTGCTGAAAGAGTTTCGGGAAACGGGATAAGATGAAGTTCGACATAGCTGTGTACACGTATTGATAAAATACAAGGGTGATACAGTTATACAGAGAAAACGATCAGAAAAGGTCAGCAGGCAAGAACAACAATGTCCTCGTAAGTATATAACGTGATATATAGATATGGTACAGTCTTTCGATATTACGTACTCTGCTTGGACGCGACATATTCTCGTTTATAATCTCGCGTATCTTCGTTATATTAACAAAAGACGAGACTGTTTGTCGATTGGTTAAAGTTGCCGATAGACCTAATGGATCTTATATCAAGAGAATGCGCGGATATTAAACTGGGAACAATAAGTATCGCAGGACGCAAAGATAAACGAGCGATACATCGCAATACCAGAATTAAGGCATAAGCTTATTCTTAAGCAAAAAAATATATGTCAAATTGTTTTCTTCTTAAGGATGTATTACAAGTATTTTTTAACAAAATAAAAAAATTATGAAGAAATTACAGATTTTTCTATATTATATTTGAAAATATAACAAAAAGTTTGGCAGCGATTTAGAATCTAAATTAAAAGTTATTTTAATATGAAGTAAACATGTTTATAAAAAATTAATTAATATAAACTGAGAAAATTTTCACTTAAACTATAAAATTATATTGTTAAATGTTATAAATCAGTATTTACTTTTATATATAAAAACTATAAATTTCCAATTTTAGTCACTTTACCGAGACTATACACCTGATACATACTTAAGAAAAATATTTTTATATTCTAACTAAGGAATATTTTGTCGTGATTTCAAATAAAAAAAATAAAGAACGTTTTTTCTTGCACTTTAAAAAAATAATAATTTCCCTACTGAAAAAAATCATGTCATAACGTTACATGATGAAATCATATAATTGAAACATGTAAATCACATAACGGATTATTTCAAATCAGTACATGATTTTTTTAAAACGATGTAATTTGAAAAATCATATGATATTAGAAATAATTTTATCCTTCATGTGATTTTATAGTTATCAATTTTAAATAATTGAATAATAGAAATAGAAGAAAAAAGAACATATCATGTGAATTTTCAAATTACGTAATTTAAAAAATCACGTACTAATTTAGAACAATCCGTTCCGTGATTTACATGTTTTAATTACACGATTTCATCTGCAACTGTGTGACGTGATTTTTTTCAGTAGAGTTGCACTTATGCCTCTTTTGATATGGAACCATGATATGAGAAATCGAAAACAAAACTGGCCACGAAGTTTATAAAAATCCTTTTGAGTTGCTTTTATGATGCTCGAAAAATTTTTACAAATCTTGATACGTATAAGTTTGGTTTTCGATTACTTGCATAAAAAAGTTCGTATTTCAAAACACTTTCTTTTTTTCGTTATTCGCGTTTCCTATAAAGCTAATCGGGGAAAAAAAGTGATAATCTGATTAATGAATCTCTCTAACGAAATTGCAATGCATGAGAGAGGTCGTGACACTTACCTTCATCATAAGCAATAACGTGTTCAATACGATGAGTATCATGATAAAATATTCGAATGGCGTAGATACAACTATCCTCCAGATTTTGTACTTAACGCTATTCCGCTCCTTCGGCATATACCTCTCGAGCGGACGAGCTTGTATTGTAAAGTCTATACATGATTTCTGAAAGATTAACACGGAATTATCAATGTTTGTATTAATGTCTGTGCTAAAAAAATGTCATGTAGCATATACATTGACTAAAATGAATGAAGATAAAAATTAAAATAAAGAAAAAATTAAAATATAAAGAGCCAACCTCTTTATATATATGAAAAAATATTTATATATTTATATATAAATTATTCATATATAGAAACAATTATTTAATTTATATATATTATATAATAATTCTACATATTGATACATTTTTCACTTTTAAAAGAACTAAAATTTTAATGACGCATAGAGAATGACTTCACATCTTTTAAAATTTATTCTTTTCATGGAGACAGCTAATGAAGCGCACATAAAATTAATTCTAAGTGAAAAAATAGGTATGAAATATTACCTGATTTTTATCGATTTCACCATCCTGCAGTTCAGCTTCTCCCTGCTCCTGGAACGTAATGATAATCAAGGCCACGAAGATGTTGACGAAGAAGAATGGAAAGACGATGAAATAGACGATGTAGAAAATGGACATTTCGATACGAAAGTTTTGGATAGGGCCCTGGTCCTCGTATGTGGCCGCCATCGAATTTTGTAAGATCTGCGGCCAGCCTTCGCCGGTCTGAACAGCGAACAACGTTAACATGGCCACCATTACGTTGTCGTAGTGAAAGGACTGGGATTGCCACTTCCGTTGCTTGAGCTCCGGTAGCATATTACCTTCCTCGAAAACGAAGAATTGACCACTGTCGCAAAAATAAAATTAGTCTCCATTTCTACTGACACCACTTGTAAAAATATAATTCGAGAATAAATATGAAATGAAGAACTTTTTTTAATTTCATTTGCTCTTTTAAAGATATATTTATTTGCTTACTTATCAAAATCAAATGTTCTAGCTTCAATTATTATTAAATACACTAATATATTTATATGTATTCTCTTCGAAATGCTTCCGTTGATAAATAGAAGCAACAAAGTCGAATAATATACTTAAATAATATACTTACTTGCAATCCTCTTGCGTATACTTGCTCTCGTCGGTGCAGTGGAAGAATTTACCGTTGAACAACTGCACCGCAATTACGGCGAATATGAATTGAAATAATATATACACTATGAGAATGTTAATGACATTCTTGAGACTGTTCACCACGCAGTCGAACACCGCCTTGAGCTTCGGCACGCGCTTTATTGTCTTAAGCGGCCTGAGTACTCGCAGCACTCGTAGCGATTTGATGGTCGAGAGGTTCTGGCTGGCCGTAGAGGAGCTACCGATTATGTCAAAGGCGATCGACACCATAGCACATATCACTACGACCGCGTCCATAATGTTCCAGAACTCGCGCAGGTACGAGCCCGGATGCAGTATGATACCAAGATCGATGATTTTCAGCACCATTTCGATGGTAAAGACGCCAGTAAATGCGTAATCGAAGTAATTGAGGATGTCGTTTCTTGGCGCCTTCTCTGAAACAGGATCTTCGGCGGCCAGCGCGATACTCGACAACGATATCACCACCATTATGAAGAAGTCGAAGTATCGAAGATTCACGACCCAATGGGCACCTCTTCTTATGCTGCAAACAGGTTATTCCATTATTTCGATGAAAGTAACAATCTCGTTCATAAAATAAAAAAATAATGCATGCAATATTAAAATGCAATACAATATTAGAATAATTAGAAAATATCAAAATAAATAATAGACAATTAATACGATCGTTAATATAAAAGTAGATTAGGTGTCTGCTGCGCTTTTTAATTTATGTGTAAGTGTCATCTGATTTTATTTAATAACATTGTGATTTATTATGATGTTCAATATTCTTCGGAAGAATTTCCGAGCGATTGGATTATTATTATTATACTTACGGATTCGTAGGGGACAGTATAAACATGGAGGAGTATGGCAGCATTGGTTTTGGTCCCGTGTCGTCATCTTCATCCTGCCTCCTCTCTTCGGACGTCTGGGTTTCAATTCTTCCGTCTCTGCTGGAAAAGACGAGACGTCGTTCTCCATTTTGTGGCTCTCCGTCAATATTGCGTTTTACATTTTTTAATCTATATTACGTATAATTATCAATTTTTCATTAAATAATTACGAATAATTATTAATTACTATTAACTTTATTTTATTATTAATAATAATTTTATTATGAATAATTAATAATCACTTTGTTCACATAGTTTTGCAATTAAGATTTGCACAAAGTCACAACATTTATATATCAAAGATTCTGTGAAATTTTCTATTCTACCTTACACAAACATCACAAGTATTATTTGCTACAAATACGAAACGTCAAGAAAAGACAAGAATTTTTACAAATATGACAAAAAGAAAAAAAGACTTACAAATTCTGCGTTGGACTTGGAGGGCAGATTTCCACCCTCGGTGCATCCGCGGGTCTCTGCAGCGACTCGATCTCCTTCTCGAGTTCCTGCAGCTGTTTCTCCTTATCCTCCTCCTGCTGCTCCTCCTCGGCGGCGCTTAGCTCTTGCGCGTTCGCGAGATTAATGCCCTGCGACTCGATACCCTTGTACATCACTTCGTTCCAGTCTTCTCCAGTCAGGATCTGTATCATAATCATTATCAATTATTACATTAATCGAATATTTTTTAGTTCAAGAAATATCTAATTTTTTATCATTCACTGAACAATATACATTTATTATTTGATACGCAATTTCCACTGCATTTAAAGTATATACAAACTATACTTTCGCCATGTATCTATTTAATGTTTATTTATATTATTAAAATATACAATGTATCGGCTATCTTTCAAAATTGCATGTATCGGTTATCTTTCAAAGGCTAGCGAGACTATGAAACGGATATTTTTCTCGCTACATCGGAAAAATTAAAGCGTATATAATGCAATAAAATTATATCATATATATTTGTTAAAAAATTGAATATGACTCATTTACAACAACAAATAAAGATCGTAATAATAATTGGTTGTACTAACTTGGAAGACAGTGAGTAGTGCGATGGGAAAGGTGTTAAAGTTAGTGGGCGGCGTGCCATCGTCGAAGTTGAATTGGCCACCGAATAGCTGCATACCGAGCAGCGCGAATATGAGGATGAAGAGGAAGAGCAGGAAGAGAAGGGAAACGATGCTGCGCATCGAACTTAGCAGCGATATCACGAGATTCCTCAGGCTCTTCCAGTATTTGGTGACCTTAAAAATTCTCAGGAGTCTAAGGGCACGTAGGACGGAGAGGCCGAAAGAGCCAGACTTCAACTCGGACCAAATCACCTCGAAGATCGAGGCCGAGATGACGATGCAGTCGAAGCGATTGAAGCTCGATTCGAAGTATGCGCGAGGACCGAGCGCGTAGACTTTTATGAACATCTCCATCATGAAGAGGCCCAGGAACACAAACTCTGCGAAGTCTGAAAATAAAAAATTGAGTTAAACTTGGACTCTTTAGCTCTTGAAGAACTTGAGCCTTTTAGATACAATAAGTTTTCGTTACGCTGAAATCCTTCAAATCTTAATAGGTTGACTGACAAAATGTCCTTTTAATATAAGCTAGTTTTATAAATCAAATTTTTACATGCTAGATGTGATATTTTTTCTTTAAATGAAGTGATGAAATTAAAATTTTGTAAAACTCACAGAGGAAATCGGTGAGCCATTTTGGCTGATTGTAATGCTCGACGGCCACGCAGACGGTGTTAAAGAACACAAGAACGATGACGAACCAATAGAACTGTTGCGACTTGACGGAATTGCGTATCCAAAACCTGAACCTTTTCTCAGCTCGCCAGAATTGTAGGCACGTGCCCTGCTTCTTCACCTTCGACTTAAAGTAGGAGGCTCTCGAGAACCCTATAAAATATAAAATACTTCTTCAGCCTAAAATTAATAAAGCATTTAAAACATATTTTACAGATCGGTCGATTGTTAAACTGAATATCATATGTATTTTTATTTATGTAAATTATATAATTTTCCTTTTACTTCAGAATTTTTTTACACTATGTCTACATCTTCACGTTTCGTACTACTTGCTAAACTATTTCTGCGACTATAAATAAAAAATCTAAATTATATAATCTAAAGTATGATAGTATGTATAGCTATGTTAAAGTCTTTTGAAATCTTTGAACATTACGCATAATGACGTTCTTGTGGAAGTTTGGAGGAAACCGCACAGTAGGGCTCCCCTGCACAAACTGTATAAGCGTAGCATAGCATAAAACCATCTAGACCCATGAGTATCCACTATAAGGTTGTCATATTGACTTACATAATATGATCATTGGTCTAGACAGCTTTACGCTATGTTTATGCATTTTATGTTTTGGAGTTTTCACGGACAGAAAAAGAAATCAAATACTTCTAGAATTATTTTATGTATCAATGGGAAGAATTAGAAGTAAAATTCTATTTACTTCTAATTCAACAAAAAATAGATATAAAAATAGACACACAAAATTCTAAACTAAATTATTCTACCAAGCAGTTACCACTATTATATGGCGATGCGTATATATTGTGGCTATTTATTACTACAATATTATTACTATGTGTGAACGACAGGCTAAAATTAGCCCATTTATCAAACTCTATAGGACGGGATTCGTACACTACTTAGGAGATTCAGTTTCTCGTTTGACAATACTAAGTATTCTACTGTTCTGTCAGCTTTAACAAACTAAAATTATAACCGTATAAGTGAATAATAAAAACATTAATCACAGTATTCCACCACATGATACACCTAAACAGTGTAGAAATATTTCCACCGGAAACATTGGCACTTAATATATAACGTTATATTATCAATTGTTTATCAAAATTCATCTCACGGAAGGAAAAAGATTATTTTATGCTATAATTATTAACGTAAAAAAAATTTTTTTGTGTGTTGGAGAATTAGAAATTCAGGATAATAGAAAAAAAATGGTTTTTAATCTTCTTAAAAAAATAATTATAGATATATTATATAGGTGCATATATTTATTATGTAATATATATTTCTTGATTCGTTTGTCTCAGAAAGTTTAGAAAGTTTAGAACAATGCTCGTGCGAATGTTCTCGGACCCAGAAAGAAAATCTAATATTTATATATCGTGACATCAACTAATATATATAAAAGCAATATCTAAAAAACTAAAAAAGAGAGAGAATTAGCTCCCAAGTTCTCCAATCTGTCTCTCGCACAAGGTCCGCGTAATATTAAATGATACATATCAGCCACAATATCAGCAGCAAGTCGATCCGAGTAATTATATAGAATGCAATAATTACATCCTCTACCACGAGTAATCACAGGCGCTTTGATTTTAATACGATAAATAATATATAAATCTAGCTATGCGACGATCATTCGTCTGAATGTGTAAAGTGGCTTTGCCAGTTTATAATACTTTTACGCAGAGAGCAATGCATAATTTTGTATGTATTAGTATTACATAACTGTTACAAATGAACACTTCAACTCGTAATAGTAACATTTTCTTGATGATGAAAGATATTCAGATATTTATTAATTAATTTTTAATTATTCTCGTTTTTTAAAAGCTTATGTTAATGTAATTATCAGTTATTCAAATATTTTAAATATACGCTTAAAGAATATCTTTAGTCCGAATTAGGCTGAACAAAATTATCTAGATCTATATTATTTATTAAACTAATTAATGTGAGAAGATTAAGATTCAATTCTTACATGTTTAAGTGAAAAAGAGCACGATAATTAATACATCCTGCATACGCGAATAGGCAAGTAGGTCATTTATCAAGCAATAGCCCATGTCTAATCGTGTACTTGTGATCGTGTACGCACGATATTACTTATACGTGTGTGTATTACCAACAAAAAATTCTTTTAAATAAAAATACAAAAATAAAATAATTACGTAAGATTACAAATACAGCCTTATTTTTACGTAGCTCTTTGCGAAAAGTCGTGGCATTCACGGTTGTAGTTACCTTTGAGCTTTTTCTTAGGCACTGAAACAAGAGGAGCATCTGATAGCGTGTGTTTAGAATATTCATCGGCAAAAATTAGAGGAAGGTAATTTTCAGCGTCGTTCTTTTCTTTTCCTCTCGATAACGAAAGATAAATCAGGCATGAATCCATAAAGTATTAACAAATACGTCAATGAACGTGAAAATACGCTAACGTGCCAATATATAAATGGAGAGAAATTTTAGAACGAGAGAAAAGGCGGATCAAAATCTCGAATCAACGATTTCCTTCGCACTAATACGAACTTTAAAATTGCAAAGCTTTTGTATTCTCCAAGCACGAAATTTAATCCTTAAATAATTTTATGACTAATTTAAATTTTCGTGAATTTTATTTTTTTCCAAATTTTTCATTGAGTTTGCTTTTTAATTGCTTCACGCTTCCAGAGGAAATCGTTGATTGATAACATAGGTTTTGACTACTAAGAAATCATATAAATCCTTACTACTTGAACTTGATCAAGTTCGTTTGAATATTCTGAAGAAGATTCATTAACTCGAAATGTAAAAGAGGTGAACAAGAAGAAGAGAATACTCGGCACAATTGAACACCAAGTTGACCAAATACAACTCACCATCGTCCTCGCCGTCCTCGCCTTCCTCCTCCTCTGTGTCGGTGCTTTTGCTCTTGCCGAGATTTTTCAACTTTCTTTTCTTTGCCGCTGCTCTTCTTCTTGCTGCGCAAAATAAAAAGGTAGATTAAGCTATGTAAACCTTCATAAATATTACGGCCTAAATAATCTTTTATTGAAAATATGTAAATATCATGTTTCTCGAAAAGTATTGATAAAATTATGAAAGAATCACAAATTGCAGTAATTATATGTTGTGATGTTTTTCATTTTGTAATCTAATGTACGCATAATTAATCGTATTATTAAATTATTTCTATAAAATTTACATATAACATATGCAGGAATGACTTATTACTTGTAAAAAGCAAAAAATTACATCGATTGTTAATCCATCTATCAATAAAGTTAATTAAAATTATAAAATATAGGAATGTCTCGTTTAAGAATACAACATTCAATGCATTGCTAACAAAGAAAAAAATTGAAAAATTGAAATTTGACTGTGTTGAAAGAAATGCGAGTGCAAGTGCACTCTGAGTACACGGAGCACTCTATATAAATATGTACGAGCACGTTTCGGAATACAGCTCGCTTCGCAAATCTTTTCAACCTTATGGAAGTAAATATTCATGATATCGTTATATGTTGCATTATATGGACCTTCTAATATGTGCATTTTCTCCTCTTCCGTGGTCCTCTCTTCGGCGAGTATCACCTCCTCTGAAAAGTAAACGTTACATATTAGCAGTAATTGATATTACGTATATTATATTTTTATACACGAAAAAGCAACGCGTGGAGAGTCTAGCATACGCAGTGAGCTGTAACTTCTGCAGGCACACTGTTTACAAAATAAGTGAATTAAAAGATCGATAAAAGAATATATTTAACCTTTTTGCCAATGCACAATTTTTCAACTTTTACTGTCACAAAGTTTCTATTAAAAGTGAAAACGAGGTAAAATTTGTAAAACAAAATTATTCTTTATCATTTGAAGGATGTAGTTTTTGAGGTGTTATAATAAAATTCAAATATAAAAATTTGTATTATTTAAAATTCGATATCAGCATTCAGGTAGCCATGCATTGACAGAAGAGTAAGAAATTTATTATTTAATTTTCAGAATTACAGAGAGATTGTAAAATATGAAATACATTTATTACAAATAATTATTTTTTTTTGTCAGTTTTTAATATTATATTATTTTTAAGGCATTATTTTATACGTGATCATTTGTTTTATAATATATATTTTTTTTTAACAATGACATTTTTTCAGTGTTTGCGAAATGAATTCCGTTTAATCTTTTTTAATTCACGTGTTTTGTCGGCAATTATTCTAACCTGCTTTGCAGATCCAATTGAGGTAACAATTCAGTTCGCGCTCAAGCTGCTGCTGTCTTCGCAACTTCAGGAAGGACTGCCGGTTCTCCACCTTTTCTCTCTCCTTCGCAAACTCTCTACAAGCGTGATACAGATAATATGGCAGCTTACTCAGGAGCATAAAAGCTAAGTTTACCATAGGACTTTCAGACATTCCGCTGTATTTTAGCGATACTGCCTTGTTTAATAAATCAACAATATTTACTCATTTAAGAGAAATGCCATTGAGAGCATTGAAAAAGAAATTTTTTTTTGTTTATTTAAACTAGCTTACGCATGGGAGCTAGGTACCATACACCAGATTATGATAGATTCATTAATCACTACTGTTGCTTGTACTTTAATTTCCTTTAATCAAAATTTAAAATATCTAGTGTTAATTAAATGGGTCTAAAAATTCACATTTCTATGAATATATAATTTGCATCGTATTCTCATCGCGTGTTTAGCACTAAAAAATTCCTATTTTTTTTCACACATTAAAAGGCATATAATCTTATATTAATAACAAGTATCATATAATTAGAGATATTAAATCAGTTGTAATTTACAAATGAAGGAACGCTAAAAAAATTTTTTAAATAAAAAAGATAAATAATATTTAAAATTATTAACTAATTATTACAAATTAATATATTTAATTTATTTTATACTTCTGATCTCATGGCAATGCTGAATACGCTAAAAGAATACGATTTATTGCACACTAATGTCAGGCAACGTCTGTTAATTGAAGACCTGCTTGAGTGATCCATTTTAAGTAGGAACTGAACGCAGTGGTAAAGAGTCGTTTGCTCTTCGCTTTCCGATAAGCCGCCCGCCGTTCGACGCGCGTTCTTTCATTAGAAAACTCCCTGACGAGGAAAGAAAATCATTCTGAAATAATGGACCTCGCGATCTTGCCGGATGGGAGACGTGATTGTCGCTCCAAAAATTGTCACTGGGCGGAAAGACCGCGGAATGTTGTCAGGAGGGACACATACTCACCCGCTCAAGACACCAAGAACTAAGTTCAGCATGAAGAATGATCCAAGGACGATCAATGGTATAAAGTAAATCCAGTTGTACGTGCTGCCAAGAGCGTCATTTGTCTGCAAATTCGATCGGAATCGATATGAAGACAGTAATGTCGCGTATATACACATATGTACCGGTTATACAGCCGAAGATATATTAATTAACAGCAAAAGTTATATACAACACAGAGGCACTGGCACTGTAATCTCGCTGTATCAAACACGATGTGATAAATGTGATCGTCCGAGTGTGAGAGTTCGAATTTATTTATCGTTATTCGATAATATTCATTTCCCTTCACAAAGAAAAATTTATCCCACATGGAGGGAAGATTTGATCTAAAAAAAAACGTTATAGATTGAAAATTCGTCGATCACATTTACGCAAGACAACATCGGCTTTATGAAACTTCAGTATCGCTGGTGGTAACCCGTGGAAAAAGAATAGGACGAGAGAAACATGCCATTTTTTTATAACGAGAGAAACTGATCTGGGACTACTCGCTACATCTCTCTACTTGCTACTCGCTATCTTGAAAAAGAATCTACAGGTTTTCAAATACTTAACACGTTGACTGCCATGGTAGCCACCAGTTAAAATTTTTTAAAACGTTTATAAAAAATGCCATTCATATAATAAATAAATCCATCAATATAAAATTTTTAATAAAAGATAATGTAAAATAAAAAGTCCGTTGTTCAACACACTATTCATGAGGATGTAGTCTCATTTAACCTTCCGCCAGCGGACGCAGGGTCCGCGAGTTAGAGTTGTTTTACTCTTTTCAATCTTTTCAGCTGTGAAGAAAATGAATAAATGAATATTTGTTTCTATGATAAACATGTGTTTTTATTTCTCTTTCTACATATTTTATACATATTATAATAGAAAATTGTTTTTCAAACGTTTTAAAATAATTTCATTCTTGGGTCACTTTTGACCCTGCGTCCACCGTGCGTGCGAGTATCACGACGTCCGCTGTCCGAGGGTTAATCATATGATATAGTATTTTATTATTATCACGCTTGTAATATTATATGAGAAAATTCTTCTGTGATATATACAATAAAATATTCACAAGGCAGACAACGTGTTAACTAAGATATGTAATGTAAACAAAATTTATTATAGTTCAAAAACTATACTAGATCTGTTTTTATAAAAAATTTCCAAGTATATATATTCCAAGTATATACCAAGTATATGTATATATATATTTTTTTTTTTCGAAGCATGGCATTTTCTTCCGACTGACGTTTTACCGCGGGCTACCCTATATTACAAAAATCGATGAGGCAATCGAAATTTTTCCGAGATTTCAGTAAATAAATAACAATTATGTTACAGACGATGGAATTACATTGAAGGGTTTCGAAATAATCTATTGTTTATGATGAAATATAACAATAAAATATTGTGAAATCCTCCGTGATTCATTGACTGAACATTAACCCTTTCGTGATCAACAAAAAAAATATTCTACTAATAATTCTTTTTCCTTTAATTCATATTATACGAATTTAACTAATATTATAGCACTAAAAGATTAAAAGTTACTTTTACTTAATTTTAAGAAAGATAACAAAATTTATCTATCACGAAAGGGTCAGGCACAATAAAAAGTACAATTAACATCGAATATTGAAACATTGAAAAAGAGGGCTGGAACTGACAATGTTATACTGAGCAAGGTGAACATATACGTCAGTGTTAGCTGTTTCCGCAAGGCATTCTTTAACCCGAAAGCCGACAAATTCGGCTAAAGCCGGACACAGAAAAGAGGCGAACATATATGTATAAGGACACCGGAAATTGCGAAAAAGGAAGAGACATTTAAAAGCGGATGGAAGAAAGTACATGTACCGAAACAGTTAAAATGATAATATCTTCTGTCTTCTAAAAGGGTAAATTGACGAGGGAAAGAATTATAGTTTAGTACAAAAATGGGATATTCAAATCGCGAAGCGGTTAATAAAGGATTGACGAAACTGGGCAACAACATTCTACGAGAACACAGAGATTTGAGAATGTTCGCTATCGTACCTTTTGTGTAACGATACTGCGAGGACAAATCGTGCGCGATAACGAGAAGGTGAATTTTTAACAGAAACAGGAAAAAACGAGCGAGAAAAAGAGAGAGGCAAAGAGAGAGAAATAGAGAAATATGATAACAGATAGAAAGAGAACGAGATAAAAAAATATTAACACTGAAGAACATATTTCTTGCTTTACCCAGTACAATATGGCAGTCCAGCCCTCCATAGTGATACACTGGAAGACAGTGAGCATGGCGAATCCGATGTTATCGAAGCTGGTGATGCCCGAGTTTGGTCCCTCCCAGTGATCCATGCACGTCGAGACGTTCGCGTCGCACACGTGAGCCCCGGACGGGGCCTCATTTTTGTTATCTGCGCTACACGGACTCGGCATCTCGCCCTCCTTTATGATTACACCTGCAACGTTCAATATTGTAAAAATATTTCATATATTATAACATCAGAATAGCCTGAAAAAGAATTGAAGCGTATATGTATTTTCTAAGTAATCAGAAACGCAAATTATATTTTCATACACTCTAAATCCGTAGCAATGAAAATTTTACTACTAACAAAAGTGAGTAGTAAAAAGTTATTGCTTTAAGTGTGGATTTTCACTGCTTTGAAGTTAATCTGTCTACTCGTACATAAAGCCGTGGACTATTTCATTCGATTAATCGAAGTGGGTTTAAGCATTAGTTGATAATGCATTGCATGCAAGATGCATTGAATGTTACTGCAAGGAGTGAATTTAGCAATATAGCACCGCTATGTCGTTTGTCATGGTTGTTACGGGCGGGACGCATCTTGAGACATATATGACATAAACATAAGAGAGACAGATTAATTTATTTTACAAAAAATTATATACGTATATACCATTATATCATTAAACCATTATTTTATCATTCTTCATCTTCTTCTTACGTTAGGCCTTTGGCCTGTGTTTTACAGGGTTTTATCCTCCTGTGAGACTGATGTCCAGCTGTCTCGCCATCTCTTCGGGGGGTCTTCCCGGTAGTCTAGACCCTTTGGTTTCCCATCTCGTGCTATCTTCACTAATCTATCCCTGTCCATTCTGGAGATGTGTTGGTTCCAATTCCTCCTTCGTTCTCTTCCCCATCTTACGATATCCTGAATATTACATTATCGTCTTATGTTATCATTTCTTACGCGGTCACGTCTTGTTTTCCCTACTATGGATCTCAAAATTTTCATTTCCGATGTTCTTAATGCTTGTTTAGTTTTATTCGTCTCCGCTCTAGTTTCTATCGCGTAGGTTGATATTGGACAGACACAGGTCTTGTCTTAGCCTCTATGCTGAGGTGTTTGTTTTTCCATACTATCTCTCAGTGCTCCCGAGACAATTGTTCTTATTTGTTTTATTGTCTCCATGTAGATGTTGCGGTCACTCGTTACTTCTATTCCCAAATGATTGAACGACATTATTTGCTCTATTATTTTTCCATTCACTTCTAACTTGCACCTCATCGGCTCCCTTGCAATCGTCAGGCATTTTGTTTTTTCCAACGAAATAATCATGTTATATTTCCTAGCTGTAACGTTGAATCTGTGTAGAGTACTTTGTAGATCATCTTCGTTGTCGGCCATCAATACTGCGTCATCTGCATAACACATTATGTTAATTTCTTTGTCTCTTACTTTATATCCAGCCATTGTCTTGACATTCTCTATTATTTTATCCATTAAACAGGCTTAGACTATCGCCTTGCCTAATTCCTGTATTAACTGGGATTGTCCGTTGTCTTGCCTCCGACCTTAATTTTTGTTGAGCAATTCGTGTTCAGTTCTTCGATGACTCCTGTAATTTTGGGTGGGATATTCTTTTCTTTGAATATGCTGATTACATCGTCCAATCTTATTCTATCGAAAGCTTTTGTCAGATCGACGAAACACAGGTATGTCGGCGTGTTGTATTCAATAGCCTTCTCAACTACTTGGCGTATTACGTATATGACGTCTATTGTGGATCTGCTCTTCCTGAATCCCTGTTGTTCCTCGCTGATTGGTGTCATCTCGCGTAATGTCTCAGCTATTATATAGGTAAATATTTTTAGTATTGATTCTAGTAGAGATATTCCCCTGTAGTTGGCTGGGTTCTTTTTGTCCCCTTTCTTGAATATTAAAGTTGTTATGCTCATTTTCCATTCTCGCGGGACCCTTCCTTCTTCTATTATTTTGTTGAAGTAGAGTTATTTCCTTTGTTAATCTTGATCCTCCGTATTTTATCTGTTCGTTCGTGATTCTACTTGCTCCTGGTGCTTTTCTGTTTTTTAGTTTCTGTTTTGCCTTCGCTACTTGGTCTTCAGTAATCTCCCAGTTTGATCCTTGTGTTTCCTCTCTCGCTCGTTCTGTGCTTTCTGTGTATTTTACCATTAAATAGATTAAATTTATAATGTACATAATTTTTTCAAAAATTTATAATTAAAAATAAGATTAATAGATTAATAGATTGACAGCATGCTCTGTTCAAAATCTGTCTCCGCAGGCTTTGCTATCTAGGTTTGGAATGACATTATTCTGTCATTATTCTAATCTCCAAATTCACTCCTTTTTGAAGTAAATTTTTCACTCTTTATCGAATCACTCACCAATTAACGAATAGATTTTCCATTCTCACCTTACAGTAAAATTCACTGGCAGTAACATTAGCGCAATTGCGTGTATTGAAATTTCATTGCAACAGATTTAGAGTGTACACTTCAAGATTTCCGTAGATTTTTTTTTCAATCTTTTGTGTGGTCAATGGGATATAAAATATGCCTTATTTTATATACCCAATTGCTTGCCTAGCAATATTATAAGCAGTAGTGTTGGGCAAAATTTCTAGAAGGTCGACTGAATACACTCACTGATGTCCTTTATACTGTAACATGTTTTATGCAGAGTTCCCGAATAAAACTCGAGGCCGATGATGGCGAATATCACGATGGCGAAGAGTACCAGCAAGCCGATCTGCAGAAGCGGCGCCATCGCCTTAATGATAGACTTGAGCACCACCTGAAGACCTGTTCGCAAAAAAAATCGCCGAGGAGTAAGTAAGCCTAACCACTGTTCTTACAAAATCGATGTGGAATTCTATGCTCGATATTTCCGTGCATCGCTGATCTCATTATCCGAGAAATTGTACATAATTTTTTAAATTTTTAAACGTAAGATTAATATATGATGAAAATCACAAGATCAATTTCTAGTAACAAATAGGATAATATTCTTTCTTTTGTTTGACGACATTTGTAATGACGATTTACAAGTTAAAAAAGTTGTCTAGGTTTTAACTCTGTTTTATCTCTGTTTTATAGTATTTTCATAAAAATTATTTTAGATTTCAGAATGGTTTGAAATAATCCAATTCTTAAAAAATGTGCATTTAATACTACTCGAAATGATTCTGCGTCTAAGGATTAGAATACCTCCGCCGCATCTAAATACAACATCGAGCTCTGAGTAGTACCTATCTGAACAATACTACTAACATAAAACGAACAATTCGACAGAAAGCATCCTACAGGCAATATAGATAGATATATTTACTATCAAATGTGACTAACTTTGGTCTACTTGACTTTATAACTGTTAATTCACTCCTTATTAAATCTATTAGCCACTATTTGAGAAATAAGTATTGCGGCGGATCGTATCGATCTTCGAGATATCCAAATCTCAGACACGAAGAAGTTTCGAATCGTAAGTATTCATAATTGATCATCAAGTAAATTTTCTCGAGCAACAAGATCGTATTATTTTTGCACATTTAGCGCCAAAATGTATTTCATCTAAAAAAGACATGTCACATTTGAAATATTTTTCAAATTAATATTTTTTTATTTAAACGTGCATACGTAATAGCAGTAGAACATCTAACGAAATGAAATATTCAGCGCTAAATGTACTTTTAGCCCGAACTCACACCTTTGTCTAGTACTGCATGCGCATAATGTATGCTCAACAATAATTTAATGATCGAGTATGATTATTCATACAAAACAAATGTAAGATTCATTTACTTAACGAACTTTAAAAATAATTTTTTACGTTAAGTTTAAAGTGCAAATATCTATTGTTAAGGTGTGAGCGTCTATTTCGCGCATTATTTACGATGATTTCGTCGGGAATCTTGTTTACAACGGGGTTTCCCCAGCAACGCGAGACTTCTTTGGATTTTCTCGAGCAGAGTTGCTTCGAGTTCCAAAAAATCGATCGCTTTCCAATTTGTACTAATGCGCTACTCACTCGGTATGCCGGAGACAAGTTTGAGCGGTCGCAACACGCGTATCGCACGCAACGTGCGCAGATCCATATCCAGGTCTTTGCCTTGCGCCGTGATGATCCTGCCCCAAAAACACACACACCCCGCCACACTTTACTACTTACTACTCTATTACACTAATACTCACGCTACTCTTAAGTACTTATACTACGTCCACTAGATGGTTAACTAGCCTAGCCTGAGGAGATAATGCTATCAGGACGATCGGATGGAATTTGTAGAAGATCAAAGAACTCTGGTAAATTAAACTTCGAGAGCGCAAAATGGATATAAATAGCTATCTATAACAGAATGTCTGTCTGTCATGAATTCCAAATGAATCTTATATAATTTAATAAAAAAAGTACTTAATTAAAAAAATGTTTGAAGTTTAAAAGAGAGAGAGACTTTAAAAAAAGGATGGGCAACTTTATTTCTGTATTGCGGTTAAGCAAATATCAAATTCACATATTTTTCTAAATTTTTTCCTTTATTCATTATAATATAAATATCAATTTAAAAGAAATCGATAATCTGCACCTATATTTTAATACGATATTTTCAAAGAAATATTATTGAAACGTTCCTCAGTATATAATCACAACTTTAAAGTGTAAAAATAATTAATAACATCGTGATTCTGAATTTTTAAGATGTACTGGAGGGAATACAATTTCCCTCTATTTTATTAAATTTAATGCTATACTAAAAAAATTAATGATCTGACAAGATAGGGCAATGTTCTACTGAAAAGGGCGCTGCGAAGGAATAGGATCGATGTATAGGTATATAAACATATCTATATATGTATATACGTACATTCTATATATATATGTATATACGTACATTCTATATATATATATATATATATATATACGTAGACTATGTAAAATACAGTATATCTAGGTCTAGGAGATTGTAAAACGTCGAGACAAGCTAGTGATAGTAGCTATAATCACACCTAAACTCGGCGCTCGTTTCTAGAAGATATCAGTTCACCGTACGGTCATCGACCGCCACTTATCTATTTCTGACTCTCGCCAATAGCAGAAGCTTTTCGAAAAGATTTACATCAATCCATAAAAAACAGATGAGCACGTGTTAAATTTTTTCTACACTGCTAGACAATGAATTCGAAAAACTATATTTTTTCATTATATTCTATTCTGACATAACAAATGTTCTTCGATTATAAGACCAAGTATTTGAAAAAAATAATTTAATTCTATATTTTAAAAATATCAAAATTAAATAATACTAAAAACATCATCTTAAATATCGTTATTATGAAGCCATTAAATATTAGAAATGTTTCAGCAACTTTTAATACTTAATTCTTTCTAATTCTGAAAATAAAATCGATAAAAAACATTTATTTCAATTTTGAAGATGGATTATATAAGACCAATAAAAATTACAAAATAAAAAAAATATATTTCTGAAATAGTTAAATATCTGAGGCTAATTACGATTTTTCAAATGCTTTTCTATTAATTTCTGCGCTATAAATGGAAAACCTCCACTATTAATAACACTAATGATGAAAATGTTAAATGAAAAATAAACTAGCTTGTGATAAAATTGATAAAAGCGAAAATTATTAATCTAACCTAGCAATATAAATTGGAAAAGGGCGACCATCTTCTAGAATTATGGACACTCGCAAAGCAACGATTCAGTCTGTCGTGAATTTCTAAGGAAACGAATTTTAACGGATTCGCCGCTGAACACGTTATCTGCTCTAGGACACGTATCCATTTAACAATGTATAGTCGTCTCTATTATTTAGCGCAACTGCAGCTAAAGATAGCTAATCGCTAAATATAGGCACTCTGTGGGTCATCACATCTGTGTGCGTGTGTGTGTTTTCTTTTTTCCTCTGTCCACCTGTTCGTGAGTGCGCATCCTCGGTGTACGGAATTGGAGACGATTGATTCCCAAATCGTCATTGCTTTGTTCCGAAAAGAAAGCACTTTCGAAACATTGAGCTACTGAGTAATAAATAGATTCTTCCTATACAGACGATTTAAATTGTTTCTTAACACTTAAAGGAAATAATGATTAATTTCAATCTAAAATTGGCGATTAACGATGCTTAAATTACTCTCTACGTGTTCATTTTTCTACGTGTACACACGCGTGCGCGCGAATTAGAGTTATTATAAATGTGTAGAAATATAAGAAAAGCTACGGTTACTTTATCTATATATTCTATATTGTTTCAAGAAAACGTAACTACAGTTGTCTTTATTATATTTAGTGATTATTATCGTTATCGCTTTTCTAAATTATAATTCTTTATTCAGAAGAACTTAATATTGTATAAAAAATATTTTATATGTTAAACACAATATTAAACTTATTTATTACATACACTAACCGCTCAAAAATTTCAGCATACTATTTATGGAAATTTCGTAATATAAAAAATAGAATATGAAACAGTTTGCATACATTATGTTTTTTTTAAATTTATTATATAGTTTTACTAAAATTAAAAAGAGAATTTATTTTCCTCTTCTTTTTTTAGATTTTTTTATTTCTTCAAGCTTAATCTTCTCGAATTTTGATAACAAAAACAGATCTCAAAAACCAAACTCTTGGCATTCTGTCGACAAGTTCTTCAAGTGTTCTAATCAAAGATTGTATTCGATCTGGCGCTCAGTTTACAAGAATATATTGTTTCTATTCTCCTATTGTTAGTTATCATGAGATCCAAATGTTTATCGGCGTCTAGCACAAAATTTGAAATTCATATACATGTTATTTGTTTTTTTGAGAAATTTACTTATAATTTTGTTTATAATTATTTTTCGGCTTTTTGTGATTTTACTGAATACTTCTGTGCTCGAAAATAAGAGAATATATATTATATTATATTATAATTTCATATTTTTAAAAATGGATTTGATAACAAAAACATAAGACGTGCTGAAACTTTTGAGTGGTAGAGTAGATTTATGTATATAGATGAGATACACAATGTAACACACAGAGAAAATTCATATAAAAATTTATAGAAATATATAAATTATATTATATATTATACAACATATATATATCGATTATTAAATGAGAGCTAACTGAGAGCCATTACTAACTCTAACTTTATCAACTGATCTAACAATAAGACACCCATAGCCTCTAAGCAAAGATTAATAAAAACGTACATATGACGTTATATTACGCAATTAGAAAACTAATGCAGGAGGCTAGAAGGATGGAAACTAATAATATATATAGATATATGTATAGTTCAAGTTGATGCTGCTTTTGCTTGCCAGAACTAGACGTCATATCAGGAATAACTAAAGCAACGGAATCGGCCAAAATTGAAGGAATCGAACTAAGTTTCGGCGTCGAAAAGACATTAAAACTATTGTTTGTAACTATTGAGAACCGCACACAGATTGCCAGGAGACACAAGGTGAAAGGACAGGGAGTTAAAAGATGAACAGAAAGCTGGTCATTTGCTCGACTTATTAACTCGACTTGTTACTGGCAGGAATTTTTTTCTTGGGATATTTGTTAGTCGCTGCTGCTCTTTCGCAGAACTCTGACTGACTCACTTGGAATTTTCGAAACCAGCTTTAGCGGTCTGAGGACCCTGAAGGAACGTAGCATACGCAGGTCGACTTCCACGTTTGTTTCGGCGAACACGGTCATCGACCTAATCCAAGGATTACTCTAGAATCTATCTGACCAACGAGTATGACGATCGGCGTGTTTCCTTAATTCCTATAGTTGGAGAAACCAGTTTTCCGTTGCCAAGATATTAAAATTTTCCGAAAGATTGTGTAATAACAACATTACTGCTATCAAAACTACGCTTTTGATCAGATAACGCTTATATAACAATTATTAATAAATCCGTTGTTATATGTATCAAAGCATATATACGGTAATAAATCAATTTTAGAAAAAAAAATGAAATAACTTTTTTATTATGTAGATTTTAAAATATGTTAAAATTTTGCTATATTAGACATAAACTACTAATTACATCAGCAAGGCACAAAGTGTCTCATTTAGCAATATATTAGTCAAACTGATTC